CTGCCCGGGAGCCAAGGTAGTCTGACCAGGTCAAGAAATGCAGGTTTTTTTGCGCCTCGAAAAATGATAGAAACTGGACATTATGTCCATGATATTCTATACAGATGAGCAGCAAATAGGAGGTAGTCATGGATGTGAATAACTGCCCGAATATTGTTCAGAATGGGTTTTGATCCAGCAAGACAGAAACAACATCCCCTTTCCATTTTCAAACCATGGGGTTTTCTACATGGCACGGCACATGAGGTCTATCGCGTCCCAATTCCATCACTCTGCACGGCCTTGAACTTCTGTTACAAGACGGGCTGGGCAGCTGGGCCCCGTTTTCTCCGATATCATTTGGGTATGGATCAATACCTATAAATACCATTTTTAGGGGGATGAATATCCATTTACCAGCTATTTTGATGTTCACCAGGGGTACAAGGTTTTGACAGACTGCCATTTCACACACTGTTGCTTTGGAGCTGTGCGAGCCGCAGGAGCACAACTTGCTTATTGTGTCGCAGATGGCACGTTTGACTTCCCTGGTACTGGGGTCTATGCCTGGCACCCACAACCAAAATGTGGGTGTTTCTCAGATTTGGGAGGTTTCGAAGAGTTGAGGCCCATGATTTTTTTTCCACCAATTCTGGATGATTTTGGGGTTCCCATTTGAAGAACCGCCGCCAAATGTTGGGGTTCTCTATGATCAAGGCGCCTTTGAAGTCATCCCTTCAGAAATGGGAAAGTCCTGGCAGTTGCTAAGGCTCCTAAGGGTGGTAGCCAGGCTAAATTTCAAGAGTTTCAAGTGGAATTCGGCATGGTTCATCATTCCAAGTCCTGCCAGGCAGCTGTGCCGAGGGCTTGCAACTGGTATTCAACCTTTACAACAGTGTCTTGACGAATTGGTGGGACATTTCAACGGACAGCGATGTGCTGAAGGTTGCGGGACCTGATACCCGGTCCAATTATATACGTGAATTTCCATCGTGCATCAGAGGGTTTCCCACCACTCAGATTACTGAGTACTTTCAAGCAGCAAGGGTAGATTTGGAACTGAGATCTTAGGTGCATATTCTAACCCTCTGCAGAAACAGAAGGTTGATTCTTCTTGAAATTTATATGATTGGGCGACGTGGCTTGTTTGAATCAATGCGCAAATCAGCAAGATCATAGTTCTAAGAGTCTGAAGAACTTGAGTCTCTTGAGATCTTTAGTTGGATCTACCCAGAGTGATGGGATAGGATTTTCCGTGTGATGGTGTGTACCTCCCCCTCAATTTTAATGGCAGCACAAATGCTGGATCCTTTCGACCATTTTTGACCAGAATTCATCAGTTGTTCCATTTTCGTGGACTGACAACTCTGAGGTGAGACGAGCTGTGCGTACGACAACCCTGGTGTGAGGCAGGCACTGATTTTTGGGATGCATGCTGGTAGATTGGTGGAGCGGTGAAACAAGCAGAATCCCACTTGGTGCAGGATATGAACCAGTTATAAGTTATACACATATATGTGTATATACAAACATATATCGGACAGGTAGATACAAAACCTATTTATGCGTATCATGTACGTGTATATATATATAATACATTATAATAGCGTATATATATATATATGTATATATATATATATACCGTGTGTGTATATATATGTATATATACATACACATACAACCTGCTCTCCTAATGAGTTGGAGGGTCCCTGCAGGTCGGGATTTTCTTTACCCCATCGGCTTGATGAGCCCCACAGTTTGCCATGCCCCTGTTTTGTCTATGCACTGCTGCTTGACTTACCCTCTGGTAAACACAGCTATTGAACATGGCCCATTTATATGATTTACCTCTGAAAATGGTGACTTTCGACAGCTATGTCAAATTATGGCTGTTTAGTGACCTTGTTTTGGGATTTCTTTGAGCACCTTGCCAACAATCTTCCTTTCCGCTGGAGGAGCATCTCCATATCCACGGACATGTCGATGATTTGCTCAGCTGAAGGGAACTTCTTCAAGGTTTATAAGGTGGGGAAGAAAAGTTGGGGGCCGATTCGATCCACCCGGGAAAGCCCTGCAATTTGGGGACTCCTTGATTTGATGGAGCAAAGATTTCTTGCTCCAATGCAAACTGCAATGGCCGTAATCCTGAAGTGTGACAATGGTCCCAATACACTTAATGGGTACAGAAATGGTAATTTACCGTCATTACAACATGCACGATGGGTGAAACTAGCAATGGCAGATTCTACTAATATCGCCAGCATTTCCTTGGAGTGAATCATGACTTGATGTCCTACTGGAAGCACAATGCTGATGACTTGCTATGTAGTGACATGGTAGGATGTCTTGCCGCGCACCCAAAAATCACCCACTGTCAGTTTCAGTCCGCATGGGGGTAGAAGAGCTGATTTATACTGATCACTTCCGAGAGATACAGCGGTGTTTTCTAGGCAGCGGTTGACCCCCAACTTCCATTTGATGATCTATTCTATGTGGGGGCATAGAAACGAATGGTTGGGACCATGGATATGATTTTCCAGTGTGAATCCTCAGTACCAACAGTATGTGAACTCGATGCTACGTTGGCATTGGAGGTTTCAGAAGCTGAGGTTGGGATGCCAACCTCATGCCATGCTTCTGCTCCTTTCCGGTCCTTTTTTTGTGGGATATTTCGATCTTGACAGGGGGACTAATTGAACTATGGTGGTTGATGAGCATGGTGATATCTGCCGAGAATCCCCTTGGGTTGGAGCCATTGTTGTTAGGCTCCCCTCAGGTTCCTTCACCATCAGCCTCTGCCACCTAGTGTTGGAGAAGACCTTGGCAAGTCTGAGGCCAAAAACACATCCTTGTCCGGTGGCCCCCAATATGGCAAGGGGAAATGATGATCAAGAATTGGATATATTGGATTAGCATATTCTCGGACAAACCCAACTGGTTGAGAAAACACAGGGATGATCTGTGAAGGCGGTTCGTTGGAGGGGTACATCCCGATGTCTCTAATTTTGTAAATTGGCTTGCAGTCCACTTTCCAACCAGTCCCCAGTAGAAGGGACCCCCTCATTTTTCACAAGCAAAGGGTACAAGTATGGTCCCAAAATGACCCAGCATTGGTATCAGGCTAAAGCCGGTCGAGCCTGCAAACCGCACAGGCATCTCCAATTTCTATTTTGAGGACCCAGTCATTGGTTCATTTTGGTTTGCGATCTTCTTCCTGGGTTCACAGAAAGCCACTGCCAAATCTAAACCACAATTCATCATATGGGACCACAAAATGAACGGATTCAGTACTGAACCAGGGTTTCTTCCAGGGGTGTTGATTCATTGGAGGAAGGGATTGCATATTCACGCTTTTGTCAAATAATTTCAAATAAATGTTAAGCTGCACAATCATGGTTTTCGCAACCCTCAGTTTCAGATGAAGAAAGAGGTTCACCCAGCGGAAACGAGAAATCTATGCTTCCCGTAATCATGCTTCCGACACGTTCCAGCCTCCCATGTTCGCTGCTTACATCCATGCTTGGATACAAAAAAACATGGCGTCCTGTCTAACGAATGCAGTACACCCAACAAAGTAACTCACTTGGCCATGATTTATACCGCTTTCTGCTAAGATTGAGGATGGTTTCTCTCTCTAATATACAATAATATACAATATTATACAATAATATACAATAATATACAATAATATACAATAATATACAATAATATGCAATAATATGCAATAATAATCAATAATATACAATAATAATCAATAATATACAATAACATACAATAATATACAATAATATACATACATGTACTAATATATATATATATATGTAGAGTTACATAATAGTTATCCACGTTATCCATTAAAGCTGCACCGCTGGTCCTGGTGTTTCCTGACTCTCGCGAACCAAGGTTGGCAGCTCCCAAAAATTGTGGTGAACCACCGCGATGAAGCGCAGCAACATCCGGGATTTCTGGATCGTTCATCCCGCAAAATGTGGGTTTCAGGTGGTTTTCTGGATGGGTTTATCACGTTGTATGATGTTTATTGATGTTTTGTAGGGACCAAAGAATTACCGAATCCCATATCACCAATGTGGTCGCATCAGTGCCATTTGGCATGACATGTTGCTGAAACATTGGAATGTTGGAATGTGTTTGAGAAATAAATGTGACTGAAAAACTTTGTTCCAAAGTAAAGCCCCGGAGCGTGACTAGGCAACAATGCTGCAGCTGTGCTGTTCTCCTTTGACAGAGGGAACCTGAAACATGACGAAGTGTTTAAATTGAACCGATCTTTGTCAGAAAGCAGATCCAACCCTTATCCCTGGGCCCATCAGGTCAAAAACCAGCAGAAACCATAGACTGCTGCATCGATTCTGTGTGTGAAACATATTTTTTGCATTTGGCACACGGATGTTTGATGATATTTAAGCAGGTGCCAAGCTCACAGCAATCCGCTTCACTAGTCATGTGATGGACAGACACAGCTGTAGTGCTGTGACTTATTGGATCCCCATGAGTATGGGTTGTGCAATAGCTTGTGGCTCGAAACTGTCTTTCTCGGAGGACCCCAGAGCGGTCTAGCGTCCACAGATTTGAGCCACACATAGATTTTAAGCGAAGAAACATGGAGCCGTGTGCAAAAATAATGAGCTGTTGGACTGTTTCTGGACAGAGCCGCAAGATCTAGTGGTTGATTGGTGGTCAAAAATCCAGGGCCTTCTTGTACGCGTTTTTTGAGGCATTTTGTACTGCTCTTAGACGCTTCTGTGAGACAGTCAAGAGTCCCACTCGATTGGGACGGGACATTCTTGTAGCACTCCAACAATGCACCTGGAGCACCCTGTGTCGTTTGCATCACACTCTTGTCGTAAATCTGAGAGGCAAGCTGTTCCGAAATGCTTCTTGTTGCACTAAATGTGTTTCACACTGATCAGATTCATTGGCGGCACCACTTGTAGAACAGTGCTGAGAGCAGCCTTTGAAAGCGTCCGACTCGCAGGATTTTGGATCAGCAAGTAACGAAGGATTGTGCCGTCCAGCTTCAGATAGCAAGCATGACGGCCGTTCGATTCCTTGTCTTCTTCCTAGAAGTCCCATTTGCAGCAGGCGAGATTCTCATTTTTCGATGGAAAAAAGATGCCATGAAAAAGATTGTCATTGTATCACAGGGATGTCAGGGTCGATGGTAGATCGGCTGATTGCCTGGTGCCAGGTGAATCTCTGTTGCAACCCCTGGCGGTGGAGCAACCAGATGCCAGCATGTTTCCCTTGCCCCAACAAGCTCGCCATCTACCACCCTTTGGCACAGAGGTCCAAGGGGCCAAGGCCACGAACAAGTTCTGGGCCAATTGGGTGGTGGAAGAAGGGCGAGAACTGTTCCTTGAAAGAAACGCGGAGAACGGAACAACAACCCTCTTTTTCGTTTAAAAAGGACCCCAAGATGAACAGATCAACAGATCCGAAACCCAGGTTTCGTTTGGGGGCCTATTTGATATGACGGGGAAGGCATTCAAATCTGTCTTACGGTAAGGGTTTAGCTTTGATTTGTGAGTGATTCCAGATGGAGACCTTTGAGGATCCCATTCTGCGAATCCTGCAACCACTAGAGTCACTAGAACCAGCCCAGGGTTTCAGTTTCGGAAATTGCTCATCTGGACTGGTGCGTGGTCCACACCCCTAGGTCCATTCATCCCATGCCCTACGTGCTGCGCTACGAATCTTCCACTGGGGCACCAAACATGAAGGTCTCCCGCGCCAGCAGTGACGCACGAGTGGTGCAGTATGGTGATTCTGAGACCAATGGTGCCGACAAGATCAGATATTACTTCTCACCCTTCGTGAGTGAGTTTGGCTTGTCAGCAGTGGAGTCAGCCAGCCAAGAAGGGCAAATCATTGTCAAAGAGGGCTTGTTCGGAGTTCATGCGGAGGTTCGTGGACCCAGCGGGACTCAACGCAGAATCCTCTTCCCCATCTACAGCGGCATGACTTATGTCTCGGGATTCTACACAGGTTTCACTCCGAAAATTTCCTCCGACCGAGCTTTGCTTGTGATTGAGCGTGTGAGCAATGGAATTTGGAGGCTCCTCAACAACGGCGGAAAAGAAGCCTGGTGCTTTCATCCTGAGATTTCCGAGCGTTTTTTGAAGCACAACATGTAGATTTGAAAGCATGTTTGTACTCGGATGGAACAAGCACTTAACCATCCATCGAAGGATATTTGATGTCACTATATAACTAATATCACAAATTTTCTTGAGAAACACACATACACATTTGTGGACGTCTACCAACCCTAGGGATGGGTTGAAAGCTGACAGGTCAGATAAACTCTCATAGCCTTGCGGCTTCAGGCCGGTTCCCATCACCGGTTTCCAACTTTTCCCCATCCCATGGGCCCATGGGCCCATGGGCCCATGGGCCCATGGGCTTTGATCGCCGAGGAATTCCGTGTCTATGCCATCGATGCCCTTGGCGCCTTTGCCGATGCCTCCTTCGATTTTCACCCCGATGGCCGGATGACCAAGGCCTTTGAGGGCTGGATTCGCTTGGCCGAGGTTCAGGCGCCAGAAGATCGGGAGATTCTGGACTTCCATGCGGCAGCAGTTCTGGTGGATTGGCAACTGGAGGTTGAACAAGACGGCATCATCAAGTCGCTTGGAGTATGGGAAGATTGGAACTAGTTGGAACCGAAAGTCTGATGGCTCAGACTTTTCCACGAGGTTTTTCCCTTTGGTGAGCTTAGTTTTGGGGATTATGACTCCCCAAGTTGGAATTTTTACCACAGGGGAATAGCAGTGAGAGCTTTGTCCCGGGCTTCAGGTACAGTTTCACGAAACAGGCAGCTGTTCCCAAGCAAGTCTTACACTTTGCCTATGCCCACCACCAGAAGCTCTTGGCGGGCAATGCGCAGGCAGATGCCATATGGATGTTTCCGAAAATGGTGATACCCCAAAACCATTGGTTTCAAATTGAAACTCTAAAGAGGGGTATCCGAAATCATCCAAAATTAGACCGTTTTAATCCGTTTTAGCATTGAAACTTTCAGTACCAAAATGGTCGAAGTTTGGATGATTTCGGATACCACTATTCCAGAAAACCTTCATATCAATGAAGACATGAAACGAGTGGATGTTTGTATCAAACAGGGTTTTTTTTTTTTTTTTAATTCCTTTAGAGTTTTTTTGGACCGAAAACAACGAACATAAAGAAAGATCACCCTGGAAGATGCTTGTTTCTTTGGATGGTAGCGACTGTGAGCCCATCAGGTGGTGACAGAACTCACCCCATTGGCTCCGCCGACCAAAGGGCTGATGAAGGGCATTGCAGGCCGCAACCAGGGTAGTTCATTGAAGGTGGGCTCCTACTGAAAGTAGCGTGGCCTGCTCACCGCAGATGTTACATCTGAAATTCGGTTTGTTTGAACATTTGACTTTGTGGAGTTTGTGGAGTCCCAAGGTTAAAAGGGGTTCATCCGTATTCTGCGGATCACCTTACATCCAGTGGTTTTTGTCAGACAGTGACCTGCCTGAAGCAGAAAGCTCCGAATGTCGAATGACGGATGATGGCATGTTGCTGTTGCTAATGCCATCGCTTTTCCTATAGCACTTTCTCTTGCTGCTGACGATGAAGAAGATGACGATGAGGATGATTGACGATTGACGATTGACGATCGACGATTATTGATGATTATATAATTATGTAATATATTATATTATATTATATGATATTATATTATACTATATTATACTATACTATATTATATTATATTATATTATATTGTATTATATTATATTATATTGTATTATATTGTATTATATTATATTATATTGTATTATATTGTATTATATTATATTATATTGTATTATATTGTATTATATTATATTATATTATATGATATTATATTATATTATATTATATCATATTATATGATATGATATGATATGATATTGTATTGATGATTATACATGTATTGATGATAAGCATCAGCATCTGTATCCCAGGTTGTGGCTCTTGACCCCGAAAAGTCGATGCTTGAAAGCAGAACTGAACCAATTTTGGTGGGTTCATTCCCTCCCCAGATTTCAGGTCAGCATGACCCTCAGGATGAATTGATGCAACCCACCCTGGGAGGTATCACCAAGCCACCAAGTCCATGTCTTGCCAGGTGACATGTGGCAGTTGCAGGTCAACGTCTCTGAAGCGCGATCCTTGGGTTTCTTACCAGCCAGCGAGCCAGATGCAAGCAAAGCGGAGGACTTGAAAGAGAAGGCGGAGCCGCGGGTTCAGGTGTGAAACCTCCGGTAGCTTCAAGGACCCAGTAAAGACAAAGTTTCGATTGGTCATGGTGTATTTTTGGATCCCGCTTGGGGGGTTAAAACTTTTGACTCACACGCAGGTATGTCTGAATTTTTGGGTTTCCCCGGGAGAAAAAATGTGACCGTGGTGGCTCAACTTTAGGTGCTTTCACTGGTTCTGGGTCAGTCTTTCCCTGCTGTAAAAAAACCCTGTCCTGAATCGGGCTGACATGTCCAATATCCAACAGCTCTCGGATGTTCATGAACACCAGCATGATTTCCTGGCTTCAAGCTGGCGGCCCTTGCCCAACAAAGATTCCAGGCCTATGGGACTTTGCAATTCTTCTTGCACTCCGATCAGTGGCGGCAAGCCATGTTCAAGGGCAGCTACTACTTCAGTGGCAAAGGATTTCAGAAGGCGCGACCTGTCCCCTCCCGGAGCCCTTGGAGCCAATAACCCCACCACTTTTACCTGCCACAGGTGGCCTACACCTGCCTCATGTTGGAGAAGTATTACGGAAGGGAGCACAGCCATACCCAGTCCTGTGCAAATTTGTTGCTCAGGCGGGTGAACGGGGGGTAGCTGGGGGAAATTTTGGGGTTGAAACCACACTGCAGCAGTGGATCCGCTGATGGTTCGGAATTTTTTGAGGGAAGTTCAAGGGGGTTGAGGATGATCCCAATTGACTTGATCTCTTTGGGCGCCACCAGCAGCAACCAGCGGTTTTAAACTAATGTAACTAATGGATTGATTTCATGATATTTCATGGGACCTTGGTTCTAGATCATGGTTATTCTATGTTATTCTCAACAAACATTGAAAAACATCCAACATCCTTTCCAATTCTGGGACTCAAGTGTCCCAGACTTGGATGAAAGCGCTACATTTGCTGGTAGAAACCAAGAATACGAATGGTTCCCTGTAGATTCTGTAGATATTCCCTTCAACCAACCCATAATCATACATACTAGTTGGTTAAGCGAACTTAAGTCCTCAATTGGATGTTTGAATCCCAATTTTCGTTGGTTAAATCAGTTAAATTCCATATTTTCTCTTTGTTTCGGAGTCTTGCTGAGGGGCTTCCAATGTCTCTACGCCCCGGGGCCGGCGCCGGAGTGCAACGGTGCCCCCATCGACCTCTACTACGACTCAGCCTGGCACGGCGTGGCCAGCCGCGAAGGCTTCACGGACACCGGCTGCAGGACGGCGGACTTTGGCAATGCGTGCTACAACGATCATCACTACCATTTCAGCTACTGGGACTAGATCAATGTAAGGCAATGGTTGGGTAATATACCCAAGGTTTATGGTTTATGGTAATGAAGCTCAGGTGTATGGTAATTGATATTACTATGATATTACTATGATAATGGATTGGATTAACATGGTAATGTATGGTTACATAGTACTGTTTGGTAGTATGGTAATTATATCAATGACTGTATATCTGGGAGACAGTGGGGATATACTGGAATGTAAGGTGGTGCCCCAGTTCCAAATCGTTCAGCTGGAGTATAACATCACTAGAATTTATGGCAAACATATCTTAATGGGTATTAATGGGTCTTATGACCACGAGGTGGTCCGGTTTGTTGGTTGATATTCAGCCCAGTATAGTTATAGTTACCACACCCAGTTATATTAGTTATAAGCCAACTATGGGCACCGCCTTGCACTCGATAAGGTTTGTGTTGAACACAGTTTTCACCTTCAAAACGTGACGCAGTTCGAATGTTGGCTGATTCGACACCCGGAAAAATCACGATATGATGGTATACATCACAATGGACCATAGATGACAATAGTATCCTCACCCATTCACCGGGCTTCACCGGCTCATTTCTTGGTGATGATCCACGTGCCCTAAATCAGGTTACTTCGTGGTGTCCGCTGCAGTTTTGGTGAAGTTGAAGCCCGAGTTCGCCCAAAACACCCCGTTCGTTTCCTTTGTGGATACCTTGATCCGCGATACCGCCAATCCCAGCGTGCAGGAGCGCTCTTCTCAGGGCAACGTGTGTGTCCTTTTTCTAGGAATTTCGTATTGGGGATCGACCCAAAAAAGCATCCAACATACGTCAGGATTTTCAATAGGTGTGATGTCTTGGTCGACCTGAATGCTTTCGTAGTTGGGAGGGCTGTGACACTTTTCTGGGTGATGTCAAGGGGACTATTTTTACTTTGAGATAGCCCCATACTATGGAAGATGACATGTGCATGGCCCTTCTCGCTTGATCCCTTCATCAAGAGCCCTGTCATTGGATTATTGGTGAAGTTGATTACCAATTCCCGTCATTATCAATGGTCATTATCAATGGTCATTATCAATGGACATTATGGATTTTCAATATATTTTATGGTCAAAACTCCTTATCAAGCAGTACTTGTAGAAAGGCATGGATCAACTCGCCCGACAGGGGGAGTGTTCATGTGTGTTGACGCGCAATCCTACGCTCTAAATAGTACCCCCCATAGATCTTGAAGTTAGTATTGGATATCTTAATCTTGGGAGCCCATATGAGAGATATTATGAGGTATTCAGTACTATAGACTATAATATTGCGATATGAATCCTCATTTCAGGATGGTTAGACTATGTTAGCCTCATGTACAACTATAAGGCCTTCACTGCGACGCCGCTTGAATGATGGTGAATTTAAGGGTAACTATCCCCAATGGGCCAATTTCAGTCATAATTTATCCAGATCCATGTATCCATGCATCCCCATTGCAGGATGGTTAAACTATGATAAACTATGATACGTCACCCCCAATCTGTTATGGTAAAACCCATTAAAACCCTAAAATCATCACCAGGATGGCGCATTTTTCAGGACAGCCACTTCCCGCAGTTCCGTTCCTTCGACTGGTTCGATCTTCACAGCTGGAGTCGTGGAGTGATCCCATCGGCCGATGGCAAAGATCAAGAGTCGACCTCTGAAGAACTGAACCTCTTGTGCCTCAGACTGGTAGCAATGTGTAGCAATGTGTAGCAATGTGTAGCAATGTGTAGAAATGGTTCACAGGTGAATTTAGGACTCTTTTATGTAGACTTAGAAGACGCTTTCTTTTTCGAGGCTTTCTAGAATGCTTGATGTCTTTTGGGGGTGCCAAGAAACTGTGTTAGATAGGAAGGGATACTTTCCTAGTCTACGGGCAAGTATGGATTTGTCAGCATGTTTTGAGAGCTTGGCTTAGCAGTTTGGGAGCTTCAATTATTTAGAAACAACCCATATTTCAACCGTTGACTAGGCACACAATGGTCGGGTATGATGCAAGCATATCTGCCAGCTTTCCATCCCAGGTATGGCATTCACTTGTGGGGCATGGTGTTGCAGAGGGAGCCCTTGCAGGAACTGGGAAGCACCATGCTGACCCTGTGCGCTCTGACAATTCGGGAGTTTTTCCTGATGACAGATGACAACCCACACCATCCAGAGGACTTTGTGACAAACCACGTGACAGGCGTTTTTCCAGGGTGGAACTTGAAAGAAGCACCGAAGCCACTAGGGGGGCCCTTTTTTTTGCAACAACTCGTCCTCCCAAACAAACAAGCAAACACACAAATAAACAAACATGTTCGTTGGTTTCAAGCATTTCTTATTTCCATCCCTGGATATCTCCTCGACTCGCTGGTTCTGTATTTTTATATTGATGTTGAAGTACCCTCCGGTAACCACGGCAATGGAAATCCACCATTTCTAGACGATGTTCCCATCAACACCTCCATTGAGTTCGGGGATGTTCCAGCCATGACCAGAGGATCAGCCCCATCCGGAGGCATCTTCTTCCAGAACAAGGTGGATTACGCCACGTGGTTCGGCTGGCGATACGACTTCATTCATGGCATCCAGATGCTTCCTGTTAGTCCCGCCCTGTTGATGATCAGGACCCCCGAGTTCTGCCGCCAGGAGCTGGGGGCCCGGGGGGCTGGGGGCGCCTGGGGCTGGGTGATGGGGTTAGTGTCATGAGAAAAACCATGGCACAAAAAAAAGGTACCCATAGTTAGCCATCACTAAATGAATATGACAGAACCTATCATATGATATCATCTCATATCTAATACATTATGATATCATATCATGGATATGAAAAACCACTCCCCAGGCTCCCCAGCTCGGTAAGTCCCCCCCAAAAATGGGGCAGATTCGCCCATGCCCAGGTCGATTTTCGTACGTCACCTCTGGGGGTCTGATACCCGGTATGTATGGATTTCTATTAGATGACCATAAACCACATACCCTCCGGTAAAGTCACATATGGAAGCCACGGCCCAGATAGTTCGATGATTTTACCTATGAAGGAATGCTGATTTTCCAGTTCGCAAACTGTTACTTTACCACACAATACTATGTTTTGACCATGGCACATATGTTTATAAACCCAATTAAGTACAAATTAAGTACAGTTATGGGTACCATAAACTGTACTTATATACATAATTATACATAATACTATAACTAAGTATAGCTATTGGAGTTGTGTTCACCTAGCTGTAAACCAGGCCTGCTGAGTCAGGAGTGGGACAACGTTCTGTCGCGGCTGCCTCTGAGTCCCACGGATCCCTGGACGTCGTTGTTGGTCACTGGCACCCTGTCCATCATTGAGCCGCAAGAAGCTTACAGCAGGCGCCGGGTTTGAGGCTTGAACCCCGGAAAACCAACATGAAGATGAGGGGTTCATGTTTTTTTCATGTTTCAGTATATGTGCATGTAAATACACATACATATTATATATATATAGTAACAACACTAATAATGATAATAATACTAATGATGATAATATATGATATATATGTATATGTATATGTATGTATATATATATACACACATCTTATATGTATGTACTTCAATACAGGCACACACACACAGACACTTGAACACACTTAGGTGTTGAACCAAACAGGATCGGGGATTCCATGGGATTCAAGAAATCAAAATTTGCCAAGATGGGGAACTTTAGCAACCAAATCTAGGTAAGAATTTGTAATAACTGGTATTTTTCCATTTTGGGGCGGTTAAACTTCACTGTCTTGAAACCAGAGGTCAACCCCAGCCTGAAATTGTTGCTGGAATTTTCAGGGTGGGATCCCATAGTCGGAACCCCACTGGTATGAGAAGTGTTTGGGAAGCGACAATGGGAACATGTTATGGGGGTCCCTGAAAACACCACTGGAGATTTGGTGAAACAATGGGAGTGTCTACTCTTGGGTGATTTTTTTGAGCTAGTTAGGAAGTCCTTAATTTCAATGGCGAACATCATACCTGGCGCATTCAAGCTTAGATTCGAAAGGGCAGGGATGTTTGCCATCAGACCCCCATTCCATCATATTCCTAGGCATGGAATGTTGGGTGGTGTTACCACTGTTACCATGCAACTTGATCCATCCCGGTTCGAGAGGTAATGGCCATGGATGAAGGGTCCCCAAGTGGAGTGACCTTTTTCGCATTTCGTTGTCACCATGATTCACAAACAAAAGACCAATCACGTGTCAGGGTTGCAAGGTCCGCAATGCCAGGTTTGTTGACAAAAACCTCAACTTTGCAATAACCGGTCTTTAGGGCTAAAGCAACGATCTTTGGTGGTTAAACTCTCCATTTTCTTATGCAGTTCCTTCCCAATTTGTTTGGGTCAACAAGGGTCAATGACATTACTATAAACAAATCAGAAAATGATAAGACACACCATGACAAGCAATTCCAAGCCATGACCAAAAATGACAATGACCAAACATGAAGAAATCAGACAAACCATGACAAACACCAACAAAAAAGATGACCAACAACATCAACCCATGGGGTCATGATTATTACAGTATCCACATTAGATAATGGTAGTAACAACCCTGACCAGAACATTTGATGTCATGATGTCCATTTAAGTGTCATTTCAGAATAGGATGAACATCCACCATATTTAAGCCATATTTATTTCTAGTTTTGTCTCATTGTCTCATAGAATTGGATTATGGGAAAATTTACAGGAAAGCCCCATATTTCATGGGAAAATAACTCTGGTTTCCTGTAGATTTTCCCTTAAACCAATCCATTGAATTGTCAGGTTGAGTGCCATGTTACCGGAGCACATGGACGACGGCCTCACCTGGGCCTGGGCCCTTTATTGGACCGCCTCCCTGGAGGCCGCCAATGGCGGTGGGCCGAGTCCCAGCACCAGCCTGGCGTCCAGCACCGGGTCTACCGAAGCGCCTGAGGCGGGGATGTGGGTGGAGAATTTAGGAGAAAAACCATGGAAAATTGGGAAAAAAATTGGGAAAAATCTAGGAAACATATAGAAAAATGATGATTCACTAGCAAAGAATGGGAGTTTCAGCTGCAGGGATAGTGAGAAAACCGCTAACCGATTTTTTCTCCATCATGCTCAGCTGATGTTCAACAAGCTGGGCAACCGCAGGAAAACCAGTTAGAAAAACAGTCAATGGATCTACGAATGACCGATTCATACCGATTCTTTCAGAGCCAACAACATCCTAATAACCCAATGTTCTGGGTTTGAGATTACTTAAGTATACTTGATAGTTGGGACCAAACTGGTGATGTCCGGAGAGATCACTAAAGGGTCGAACCATCCCTGTGACCGAAATGCGTTGGTTGCAAACTATCCCCCAACTGTTCAAACCTCTTGATCTATAGGTTTTTGTTGATGGTTGATGTGCAGATCATTTCTGCTTTAATTTTTCCAACTTATATAAACTTGGAATCTGTTGATGATTACACGCATTGTAAATCTCCCATTTTATTGGTGAAAACCCAGGGTTCCTACAAACATTGAAAAGCAACCCAATCATTGCTGATAGTTCACGGCAATTGATCCTTTCCATCCATTCATATGCTGATAAAGAGATCCCAACTTATGCATTGAATATGGTTGCTGGATGTTGGATCAACCACATCCAACCATCTTCACGTCCTCCAAATTGGTGGAGGGTATCTGTATCACTTGTTGTTGGTTTTTATATGTTTGATTAGATGTAATCAATTTCCGGCTCTGTTGGTGGTGGATCCAGTCGATATCCGATATCCTTCCGGGTTCCCATTTCCAGCTGTTATGGATACTATGTCACACGGATACAACAGTGTTACACAGCGTCGCTATTGTATCATCTAGAAACCATGGCCCATATATATATATATATATATTAGAAATTGTGATTTTCCATAGCAAACTGTCAAATTACCCAAATTACCGGAGTTTACCCCCTTTGGTTGGTGCTTGATACGTTTGATATAAACTCAATTATAGTTGATATACTCCCCATCTATGCTTGTCTAGTTGGTGGTTGATTTTGTCACAAGGGGGGGTACCCCAAATCATCCCAATTTTTTCAGCATTTTAGATATTTTAGGAAACCCATGGTGACTTGGGGATCACCCCATTTTGCAGGAGAACTTGGCCCTGTACCGCCTGGCCGTTGCGTCCTCCGATCTCTCCGCCGACTTCGCCGCGGCACGGGCCGTGGACGGGCTCTTCGTGACCCGCTGGAGCCCAGTCAGCACGGAGCAGAACCCGTGGATCTCGGTGGACCTGGGAGAGGTACACGCCTTGAGCCATGTGGTGCTGTTGTGGGGGGAATTTTATCCCACAAGTTGCTGGGTATATGGCAAGGTTGAGTTGTACCGTTGTACCTGTACTTTTTTTTTTAGTTGGTTGAGTCGTACTTTTTTGGGGGGTTGAATTTCTGTATATATAATATTGTATAATCGCTGTTTTGGAAATTGTTTTGGGTTCAGTTGGTGCTGAATAAACTTTCCGATTGTTCAGAGGGGAATCTTCCGGGTGATGTTTGGTTCAACCATCATCATGTTTTCTGGCAATGGAAAACACACCTTGTGTGATCCTTCAACATGCTCCAACCCATTGTAGGCAAATGCTGGCCACAAGAGATCAAAACATTGTAATTTTGCCTATCCATTTTTATCCCCTTGTATTTGGGGTGTTGGTTGTGCAACCCTGTTCAAGAAACTGGGCATTGGCCGGCTTAGATAATCCTCTTCAGGTTATGTGTTGCAGGGCGCCACGGAAGCTGATGCTTGGAGCAACTTGGCCGTGGTCGCGGGCTCTTCCGAGTTGTTGCGTTCCGACTTGCCGCGGCCCAGCTTTGCACGATGGGTGCGGGTGGTGATCCAGGGAAGTGGCGATCTGCGGCTTTGGGAGTTTCAGGTCAGGGTGGGGGGTATGGCTGGTTCAAAATAAGGATACCCATGAAACGCCAGTTTTAAGCGAGAAAATTAGTTCTTAAACGATGGGATTTTTGGATACCCTATTCTCAGACAAACCTATCTACTATTTGGGGTTCAGATAAACATTGACGCATGTTGGGCTTTATGAACTGGGTTTACCACATTGATTCGATGGTGGTGGCCTGGGCAGGGGGATGGTGAAGTCTGCAGATTGATTGGTTCGAATATGAGTGAACCTCCAAATTGATTTGTTGAATCTGGAACCTCAATGATTGCGCGCGTCCACTGGCACCACATTTTCGTGGGTAAACTCAATGATCGTTTTGTGCGGAAGTTAGGATCGATAGTTTGCAGGTGGGTCCGGCGTTTTTCTACCCCCTGTAGTGTGACCAACCACTGAAAGGTTGCACTGCAAGTCAATGAAAAACAGTACCAAACCAGGTCGTGTTGGTGGTTGCTAGCGGGGGCATGAGGTGCCTGGTAGTTGCATATTTGTTCAACCATGCACGTGATGTGGGTGGTGGGGTGGGCTATTAACGTTCATGCTCACATGCACAAGATGTGGATGCTACCTTACCAAGATACACAGTCACACTGTCTCGATGCTGCGTTACTAAGACCCCCGTCTAAAACTTACACTATCTCGATGCTACTTTAACAAGATCTTTCTCTTGCACTTACACACTATCTCGATGCTATGTTGCTAAGATCTTGCCGAGCACTTGCACACCATCTCGATGCTACTTTAACAAGATCTTCTCTTGCACTTACACACTATCTCGATGCCATTTTGCCAAGATCTTGTCGAGCACTTCACATTATCTCGATGCTATGTTGCTAAGATCTTGTCGAGCTCTTACGCACTATCTCGATGCTACTTTAACAAGATCTTCTCTTGCACTTACACACTATCTCGATGCTATGTTGCTCAGATCTTGTCGAGCACTTACACACTATCTCGATGCTACTTTAACAAGATCTTCTCTTGCACTTACACACTATCTCGATGCTATGTTGCTAAGATGTTGTTGAGCACTTACACACTATCTCGATGCTACTTTAACAAGATCTTTTCTTGCACTTACTTGGAGGTAAAAGTAAGTGGCGCAGAATACACTAGTTGTGCATGTACCTTGGCCCCCCAGGGGGGGCTAGGTACATGGCGCAACTCGCATTAATATAGCGTGCGCACCTGAGCCATCTTTTTGGGCAAATAACGGGCTACATATTTAGTATTCGGGGGACAAGTTGAATCTGAGGAGCTTTCGCAACCGGGGTGCGTGCAGTTTGGTCATGCTTGCCACTGCCATAGATGGCGCCACTCCAGAAGCACACAGGGAAGCTCCCCATATTGCAGCCACATAGATGGCGCAACTCACATGTCACTGGCGTATTCATGTGAGCGCTCTCTCCAAAACTCATGCACATGTTCCACCAAATCGAATGCACAGTAGATGGCGCAACTGGGCCACAAGAACCACGTATGTATCCGTACCATATGCATCCGTCCGTACTATATGCATCTGTTGACTGCCGTGGAAAAAGAAGGAAAGCATGGTGCATTTTTTTCCACAAATGTCATTACATTTCCGCAGTATGGTTTGCGCATTTAAATAAAACCTGGCATGCGTAGATGGCGCAACTCCCAGTGCGGTGCCATCTACCTTCATTTGGGCACATGTCAGTTTTTTTCTCAGGTTCTGTTCGATCCAAATACCGGTGTCCGCGGCATCTATTAAGTGAGGCTGAAAGGTGTAAGCGGTGCGTCTTACTTTGACTTCCATGTACACACTATCTCGATGCTATGTTGCTAAGATCTTGTCGAGCACTTACACACTATCTCGATGCTACTTTAATAAGATCTTCTCTTGCACTTACACACTATCTCGATACTATGTTGCAAAGATCTCGTGGAGCACTTACACACTATCTCGATGCTACTTTAACAAGATCTTCTCTTGCACTTACGCACCATCTCGATGCTATGTTGCTCTGTAGCCACGTCGTCATGCTCGCCTGTAGCCATGCTCAGAGAGCTGGCACAGGTGGTGCGCAAGATGGACGAAAGATCTCAAGATTAAAAAGAGCGTGCACACACACATGCATCTTGTCCCGAAGGCTTGAAAACCACCGGGCGCCTTGCCCACCCGCAACCTGGTTTCAGTCATTTTTGTTCGCCCGAGATGATGATCCCCAATGAGAAATATTTGTGCAGTTGAAAACCAAGCAAACCCTTTGCAAAATTCATTCGCCCCAGCTTTTCAGTCTCAGTCAGGTGTTCGAAGACACCGAGACACCTGTCACCAGCGCAAGCACCACAGCGAGCACCACATCGACCTCCACCGTGGCGACTGTCGCGACCACCGAGGTTGGCACGACCTTGTCTGGTGTGGTCACCACCCAGCCTGAAACGACAGTGGTGACAAGCACAGTTGGTCCATCCACAACTCCGTTCTATGGACCTAATCTTGCAGCTTGCAGGAGATTTGAGATTAGTACCAAGTACATCCAAGTACATCCAAGTACCAAGTTCCTTGTTGCTTTTAGGGATTATCCCAAGCTTCAATGATAGGTCCCGCTGCAGCCTGCAGTTCGCTAGAATCGCCGAGGCGTTCCAAAAGCCGGTGCTGTCGTCGTCCTTCCGATCTGCCACAGAACATGCCTACAAGGCCGTGGATGGGGACGTGGAATCTCAATGGGCTTCAGTGTCTTTGAACGATCAATGGCTGTGGGTGGACCTTCTGGGACTCTATGCAGTGAATCGCGTGGTGCTGCTCTTTGGTGATGTGCCACAGCAATTTGTGCCTTGCCCGGCAGTGTAGGAGATCATAGGAGTGCAGCTTGGTGCTCACAAGAACTGGCTCGACATTTGAAAAATCTGAATCTGGAGACCTGAGAGATCTACTTATAATCTATCTAAATCTGGCTATGTATTTTTCTATCGATCTATCGATCTATCTATCTGTCTGTCTGTCTGTCTATCTGTGTATCTATCTATCTACCTACCTATCCATATGATTATTGATTGTCTAATCATCCAATCAACCCATCTATCTATCCATCCATCTACCTTGTTGCTTGTCTGTCCAGTATCAAAAAACAAATATGTATTGTATGCACATAATATATATAATTATATATATATATATAGTCTGTGTCCCCGATGAAGCCTTTATATTTGGGAGGGTTCGGTCCCCAGGTTGACTCACCCTGACCCACCCCCAGTTTGTTCAGGTCCTTCAGAGTGCTCCAGATGGGATCAAGTGGAGTGATCTGGCCACGGTGAACGGAGCCACTGGCTTCGTGAGCACCGAATTTCAGCCGGCCGTCTTGACGCAGTGGCTGAGGGTGACATGGCGGCAGGGCCCGGCAGGGACCGGCAGGGTTGAGGTGAGAATCCATGGTTAATAGTGATTGATAGTGATCATATAATTGTTGTTAACAATGTTCGATGATGATGATGATGATGATGATTATGATGATGATGATGATGACGATGATGATGATGATGATGATGATGAGGATGATGACGATGATGATGATGATGATGATACAGAAACATATGGGATACATAAACCAACCATAGGACATTGCACCAGTCTTCAAAACCTCTGTTGATTGATTACTATATGAGTATATGGGGTTATACCATCCAGTTTTTGTTGGGATTTTCACAATCAATGAACTGGGAAATGCGCTCTTAACCAGCCAGTGTAAAGGGATATTAGTGGGATACTCATGGGATATGAATAGAAATGGTGATATACAGTACTGGGATATAATATGGAGTGTAATCACACACACACACAGTGTCACAGCTAGCTGGAAAATCTTCGAACTAGCCATGGAGGTTCTGTCGCTGGGAAAATCTTCAAGGTGCATGTTTGATGAAAGGAGGGTAACCACTTTTCGAGACAACATTTAAGCGGAGCTCGATTACATGTTTGTTTCATTTTTTTTGGTGCTGATAGAAAAAACATTTTGTAAATTGGAACTGGCCCCCTATCACTTTCTGATATATATATATACACATATATATATATATGTAGTCAGAGTATGCATTCTGCTGATCTTGCGAAAGTGCGACGGATAATCTGGATGACTGTTCAGTCACTTTTAGAGAGCATTTCTGCCAGAAATAAGGAAAGGGAGGTTTCACTCGGTTTCACACACCTTGATGATGTCTTAGTATGAAATGAAACCATCCATTTTGATCCATTTTGTGGGAATTGCTTATTTACTGTTTGTACTAAAGCACCCACTAAACCAGAGGTTCATGATTTAGATTTCCACAGCATGATCTAGGTATCAATATGTATATATATATATATGTGTAGTGTGTATGTATATATATGTATGTATATTATATATTATACATATACACTATACTTATTGTATTACCGCCATGGATATATGATATATGTACGGATACATTCCAAGTTTGCCGCCAGGTGGTTTGCCAAACATCCTGCAGCATTCGCGAGCTCACCATCCATGGTGACGTGCCTGGCGCAACGACGGCAACGACGGCCACCACCAGCAGCCCTCTGACGACCACCGCGGCCGTGTCGACCACCGAAGGCACCACGAGCACAACTGGACCTGTGAACCGAAGCTGGGTTGCAACTGATGCAAAACCTCTGAAAAACACAGAAATTGCAGTTATACTGTAAAGATATAAGAATAGTAATATATTAAGAATCATAATTGTGTCATTATCCAAGCATTTAACATGGGCCCTAATCATGATAAGCAAATTGTAATGAGCGAAGATGAACCTGTGCGAAATCCAAGTGGGGGACCTTTGCAGTCTCACAACGCCATGATTCTTTGTGCGTTGGTGTACCCCGCTGACCTTGCCAAGCGGTGATGGATAAGTTGGTGCGTTTTGAGACTTCTTGATCTTGATGGGCTATCCAATCTATCCACCTGAGTTAGAAATTGATGTGTCTTCTTGTAAATGTGTCGATGCGGAATCACGGATTCCACCACTTTCCAGATTTTTGTCAGCCAAAGAAGCTGACTTCACTGATTTTTGTCAGCCAAAGAAGCTTACTTCACGTTTGTCTCTTATATTATACCACTGTTTTTTGGGGTAGACTATGTAATATTATGTTAAATTTGGTTATATGTTGCAATATAGGAATATGAATATTCAGACTAACATCAATTCTATGTGATCTGTATACATACAAATAACTGCACCACTTTTTGTGACATTTTTTTTGCTCCAGGAGTGAACCTGGCCGAGCTGAAACCCGTCTTGGCTTCCAGCCAGCGCCTGGCCACGGAGCACGTGAGTCGCATGGTCGACGCCTCGCTGTCGACGCAGTGGGCCTCGGCCACGGGAGATGTGGCGCCCTGGGCCTGGGTGGACCTCTTGGGTGTCTACAACGTGCCTTGGGCATCCTTGGGCCATCGGGCGATGTGTGTCGGTGTGTCCTTTTTTTGGGAGAGATGCTAAGCTGCTACGATTTCAGAGGAGTTTTGGGGCTCCGAATTTTCTGGTTGATGTTGTTGGTTGTTTTTTTTTGTTTGAAAAGAACAACCGGTATTTCTTGTGAGTTACGTGGGTCTGTAACACTCTTTTTTCAACCATGTGATTTTGGGGCAGGTTATCTTGAGAAAAGCCGCCATGTAGTAAGGGGGTGGATAGCCAATTTTTGTGAGGTGGCACACCCAGTAAAAGAACCCAAACTCTTGTAAGGGGTGGCTACTGGTCAAACCATTCAACATACCGCGAATTTCTAGTTTACTCACTTTCTTGGCAACGGAAAAGAAGCGTACGAGGATTTTGACATGTACCCAGGTGTCCACCTTTCCCATATTGATTATAACCTGAGACCCTGAGATACCCTGGACCACGGCTACTGCCGTGAGTCGGTTAACCAACCAACCAACCAACCAACCAACCAACCAACCAACCAACCAACCAACCAACCAACCAACCAACCAACCAACCAACCAACCAACCAACCAACTTGTTGATTATACATCTAGATACTTATTTGAAGCACATATTTATCAATCAACAATAACTAAGTAATCTATATATTTAAAATTTATGGGTATGGGCACCCCATCATTGGCACGTCCCAACATGATCCAACATGGCAACGCCCGCAGGTTGTGGAGGTCGCGACTCATTGGGCCGAAGATGTGGGAGACTACGAGGTGCAAACCAGTCGCAATGCCGTGGAGTGGACGACCGTGGCACACGGAGCAGGACCGTGGCGCGCGTGGGGTTTGGGTCTGAATTGGAAGCAGTTGTGGCCATTTTACAGAAGAAACATATGATTAATCAATGGATTTAGGCTGGGGGTTCGCTTGGAGTGCTGGAAAGTGGATCGCTTCGAGCGCCGGAAAGTGGATCGCTTGGAACGCGGAAAAGTGACACGCACAGACACATAAGAGATACATAGCGCTACAGCTACATATAGACACAGAGACATAGACACATAAATGGACACATTCATACGTGCCTACACGCTGAAGCACTGAAGCACGCACGTAGTGACATTGATAGATGCACGCAGGTACACATTCCAGGCGATCCGCCTTCCGGCCCGAAATCAACCAGTAGTCCCTCCAAGTAACCGAACCCGTGTCCCAGCCCCGTGTCCCCAAGTTAAACCCTGAGTGATCCACTTTTTGGTGCTCTAAGTGATCCCATGGTGCTCTAAGTGATCCGCTTTCCGGTGCTCAAACAACCCAATTTTCCTCGGTTTAGTTTCCTGGCAGACCTGGGAACCCAAAGATGTGAAAGACAATTTTCTTTTTAGAAAGTGCAATTGATGGGTCTCAGATTGGCTTTAATTTATGGGTAATGTGGTTAACCCCAATAAAATTATCCCCAATATGCCCCAAAAAGGGCAGTACAAATCATCCCCAAATGGTAGCTGTTGCATCCCCATAGGAGAAATGTACCTGTTGTTGATCTCAAATGGTTTGGCAATGTCCAGGTTTGAGTGGCCAAAGCGTTCGCACCATCTTTCCGGAGAACACGGCTGCGACGCAATGGATTCGCATTGTCAATGGGACTTGAAAAGTGGGATGCATTTTTCTTTTGAACATGTTGGGGGGTGCCTTAAAAAGTGCTAGAATACTGGAATACCCAAAGGTTGACGGCTTTCATTCCTGGCCTGACAATGAATTTTTGCGGTCCCTCATTTTGGCACTCATTCGAAGTTGGTAAGAACCAATCGATGTTTAAGGTCATAGTCTTGGTCTCAGCATATTGGCCATAGCCATGTCACCCAGCGAGGTTTGCTTGTCCTTTGCATCCACTTGTGCCATCAAAGAGCTCCACGTCTACGATGTGGCTGGACCCACAGGGCCTGGCACCACAGCAACCACAGCAGCGAGCACGACAGCGCCAAGCAGCACGGCAGTACCAGCTACTTGGCAATGCAGGGTCAGCGAAACGCGTCGACACGCAAAAAGCCACGGCGAATCTTAAGCAATTGACGAAATCTGACGAAATATGAGTGGTTAGTCCATGTTCGTCCCTTTCCGGGCATCTTTTTCCGCGTCATGCCTTCTGCCTTTCTATGTTGGGCACTAAGGGCGAGAATGTGGCTTTGAACAAGCCAGTGCTTGCTTCCTCTTCTGTGTTGCCAAATGAATATGCTTCCAGAGCCGTGGATGGGGTCGCCAGCACCCAGTGGAGTTCTGGTGCTGGTGATCAGTGGATTTGGGTGGATTTGTTGGGCAAGTACACGCTCAACCACGTGGCTCACGCTTTGCAAAAAACATCTTTTTCCATTTTCAAGCCCTGTTCCAGCAACCATGGCTACAACCAACTCATACTAGTCATACTAGGATGCCCTCTAAAACATCCTACGAGGAACAGGGTCTCACAGTGATTGATTACACAATGTTGCATTCATTAACTGGAAATCAAGGTCAAGACATGATTCATTATGGTCCCCCAAAGCCTCTTTTCAGGGACTTGAAATTAAGCCCGCACTTTAAGTACCCTCACCCTGGTTCCTGGCCGTAGATGCCCGATTCTTCACATCAATTCCCCTTTGTTGCTTACTTTTTTGTGGGTTAATCTCCAATTTGTAGTTGGTTTAATCCCCTTGTATCAACAAATCTGCCCTTCTATTCCCATGGGTTGCTTGGTCAAATATGGTGAACCCCCCCAAAAAGGTTCGGTTGCCTGGATTGCACTGGTGGTCCGGAAATTTTGCAGGTGGTGTTGATGTGGGGCAGCCAGCTGCCCAACAGCTTCAACCTGGAGACCAGCTTCAACGCAGTTGATTGGGACTCTGCTGTCCTTCAGCAGTTGCCTACGGCCGGCGCGCAGCAGGTGGCCCTAGGCGGTACGGCGCAGTGGCTGCGAGTCTACTGCACAGGAGGGTGCAGCATTCAAGAACTGCAGGCACCGGGAGGAACTAATTCTGTCGGCTTGGTGGTGGGTGAGTATTTGTGAGCAAATTGCTGGACGCCTTTTCTGCCAGTAATTCTAGGGGTAAACTCTGCACAATGTTCCCTATGTTATTGTGGAAACGCCAGGTTTCAATCCTTTTGAGCAGCATGGGATGCACAATTCCGGGCTGAGCAGGTCTATGGCACTCCTGTGAACCGCCGGCTGGAGCAGGAAGTAAGCGCACCAATTCTGGTGTAAGTGGCTCGCCCAGGGGATTTCACCAACAAAACTGGAGAGATGTGGCCTAGAAAATCATAGGCGTAGAGGATGCACTTCCTTCATGTGCCCAAAAATTTGGACAAGCAAAGTCCCACCAAAAAGGGTCCTGTCTTGATAAAACCGTGGGTTGCAGGAAGTCAAACTCCGCCAGGAGTTGCTAGATAACTCATGATAAGATTGCATTATTGCCCATGATTCTTGGTGCGATGACCATCATGAGTCATGAATGATGGGTGTAGCCACTGTAGCCGTGGGAAGGTCCCCCCGTTCCCGTTCGTTACAAGGGGATTCCATGATCCAGGGAATTTCCCTGACTTCCAAGGAGGGACGTCTTGTCAACAGCAATTCCGATCACATTGGCTCGCTCATACTTAATAGATCTTAATAGATCTTAATAGATCTTAATAGATCTTAATAGATCTTAATAGGTTTTAGATTCTTAGATGGTTCTAGCGTTTGTTTCTACCTTTCTTTCTGCTGCTCTTGATTGTACGCCTGATTTGATTTTATCTGAGTCTGCTATACCAGTGGGATGGGGAAAGGTACCTCACAAATGCACACCTTACCCTCGGAGATCGCCAAGGTTTCCAACAAGCCACGACCTCAACCTTATGAGGGCTTATGAATCAAACATCTTGGGCCCTTCGCCGATTGGTTTCCTCCAACAACGGAGGACAACCGTTTTTTTTTGGAGGGTCCCCGATGTTTGGTGCGAAGATCGTGAGCTTTCCTTCGCTGCTTTTTTTTTTCTGACTTGGGTTTCGACACTACAAAAATGGTGTCGGAGCTTCATTTCGGACAACACATTTCTCTGTGGCTGGGTTTGATCCTGCCGTGCGTTGACCTGTTTTTGTATAGTCCATTGCTCTGGACTGACAATGTAGTCCATGGCCATGTTTTCCACACATTTTTGCAAAGCTTGGTGGCTGGTTCTGGGGCTTAAATCTTGCCGTTCATCAACAGATACTATACGACTTTGAATGTTGGAACTGTCGTCCCTGAATTTCGGCCCCTGATCCATGTCGTCACATTGATGTAGCCTCGCCTCTACATTGTTCATTGTTCAACTGCTGTTTTTACTGCAAGTTGTACAGGTCTGAAGGGACCAAGTTCGAACTTGGCTTGGCTTGATTGTTTATTGTACAGACCTCTGCATCTACTCCGATGCTTGTTGAAGTAATGCAGATGGACCAGACATATGCTCTAAGGCTCTAAGGCTTTAGGAGAATAAAAGGCGAACTGCGGCCATCGGTAGCCACCAAGCTATAGCTGGCGGGTACAGAACTTGTGATGTTCTGTGGAGACCTTCACTTTCATCAAACATTATATATTTCAAATATCAGTTCAATGCAGGCGAACAACTCCTTGATCTCTTTGAGACCATGTGCATGCATGCGCTGTGGCACTAGCATCAGGAGCAACAGCAACAACAGCAGCTGTATCGGCAGGTGGGGATTTCCAGTTGCTGTGTTGGCTTGGCAGAGGGTATTCACCATTACATTTCATTCACAAAGAGGTAAGGCAACGATCTTTTCGAAGGAAATGGGGTTTCACTATCATCACTTGATGCAAAAAGCTACCAGCAATGACATTTTTTTTCACCCTTATCATCGTCATCAATGACAAACAGATCACCATCATCAATGATCCGCCATGGATGCCCTAGAGACAGCTCTGTCTCGCTGGGCCGCGCGACAAGTAGGCGCGCCCGGTAGGGTAGAGTTGGGAACCATCGAACATAGGATTTAACCATCAACAATGTGGATTTAAAGGGCAAACATTGGAATTTAAACAGCAAAAATGGTAATCAGTTTGGCCAGCGAAAATGTGGTTTTGGCTATCAAAATAGCAACAAATGAAGATTTCACAATAAAACATGTTGATTTAACCAGCAAACAATGCAGATATAACCAGCAAAAATTGGGCGTAGAACAGTACAACTGAAAAGGAAATAACTACCCGAAAGTTGGGTACCAGTAGACACACCAGGCCATGTTTAGCAGTGCTTTGCCATATGCAGCTTGGACAAACATTCAGAACAGGCTTAGTTTGAGTCTTTGCTGTGAATGTTTCGCATTTTGCAGTATTTTAGGAATCCAGTCTCTCCATTTCCAGGTGTTTTAGAGATCTCTTCGCCTCAGGAGAACCGTTGCTGTTAACTGAAACCGCTGCAGAGCTCTCGTTGAATCTGGAGTCACCTGGTGGTTAAAAATCCAGGGGATTCAACCATCAGATGCTTCAGATTTGCCATTATCAAGGTGCTTGTTGGTCATTAGTAATCCCTAGAAAATTAAGGTCACTCCCACCTGAAACATAGAGAAATAAGTATAGGTGGTTTTGGTTCCCACAAGGCGGGGAGATCGGTGATTAAGACCCCATTCCCTGATATTTTCTGAGGGGCACTTTTTTTTTACCATGTATATATATATATATCTGGAATATATCACGATATATCTCACATTTTTTTGCTCTGATACAATGGTTATTAACTTTGGTTATGTATATATATATATATGATATATGTATATACATATTGGGATACTAAGGGAACTAGGATACTGTGGTTATTCCCCACATCTTTGTGTGGGGTTCTTGTTTTTGGTTCTGCACTCCCGCCGGCCCTCCTCCGCCTCCTCCCGCCGCCTCCTCCTTCAACTTGCTCACACACAACTTGCCAACACACAACTTGTCCACACACAACTTGCCCAGACACAACTTGCTCACACACACAACTTGTCCACACACAACTTGCCCACACACAACTTGTCCTCACACAACTTGTCCACACACAACTTGTCCTGACACAACTTGTCCTCACACAAGTTACTCACAACTTGCTCACATCCAACTTGTCCACAGGCGTGGCACTGATGGCACTGGGCTGCCGCAGTGGACGCGGTGGTCGCCGCTGCCGTTTGCGTGGCAGGCATGGCACTTGGTGACAACCATCGTCCCTCACCTGTCGCTTCTGCTCCTATGTTTGGTGTTTTTGCAAAAATCTTCTTTGCGTTTCTGCTTGTTTCCTTCGATCTTTCATGTGGCCAGGTACCTTTCCGTCTTCATCACGCACACGCCGCCGCCTCCGCTCGTGGAAAAAAAATAGCGTGCTTGCGGCCCATGCATACATACATACATGCATGCATGCATGCATACATACATCCATACATACATACATACATGCATGCATGCATACATACATACATACATTACCACTTTTCCCACACAACTGTTTTTACTTCTCGATCCTTCACCACCTCCTTTGTCTTTCCTTCCTTCCCCGTCACAACTTGTCCACACACACACACACCTCACACACAACTTATCCCCACACAACTTACTCACATTCACCTTGTCGACACACAACTTGCTCACACACAACTTCCTCACACATAACTTGTCCACACACAACTTCCTCACACAAAACTTACTCACACACAACTTGCTCACACACAACTTGCTCACACACGGGTTCCTTGTTGCACACGCCAATCCTTCACCATCTCTTTTCTCTTTCCTGCATTTCCCATGCCACCTTTACCTTTCTTTTGCTGCTTGTTGGAAGAAGTTGACATGTGGGGCTATCCGGTCCTTTAATTATTGGCTATTAATTATTAGTTGTGGTTATTACCCAGTTACAAGCCATGACGGGGCAACCCAGGCTTCGCCTGCGGGTGCTGCTGCGCTACGCCTTGCGCTTGGCACCAAGCACCGGGCGTGGGTCAAAGCGTCTTCGGAGGTCTGGTGTGAGGGCATGGTGGGAAAATTGTAGCTGTAGATGAAGAACTTGTAAGGGAAATCCCATATAAATGGAGGTTTTGATGGGCAAAGCATCTATTTAAGTGATTATAAATGATAGATTTTCCATTGTCTTCCATCTCCGGTGGGTAATTTTCAAAACTCATCACAATGCGCACAGTTCCCTGAGTGAAGCACTACAGTTTGTTTCTTCGTGACGGGAGTAGACAAAGCAAGTCATGCTCTAGTTGAAAATAGCTAGATAAAACTCGATTGATGGATCGACACTCCATATGATATGGAGATCAACGGGCTTGAAATGAAGCACATGAATGCAGCAGGATATGTAGAATATGTTCATCAAACTCTGTACCCCAAGCTATTCCAAGTCCACGTTTCACAAGGTTTCCCATCCCTCCGAACTTCACTGCTCTAAGCCATGTCTGGGACCATCTGCATGCTCATTTAAGGATTTCCCATATGGCTTGTAGCCTAGTATCAGCGGAATTTTGCGTCCGGGCCTTGAGGTGTCTCCATGTTGGATGCTGAGACGATGTGGGATATGTCACTATTTCTATTCAAAAAGCTGATTAAATTGCTGGTTCAAGTCGATTTTCATAATTTCAAGTTTTTCCCAAAAGCATCTCCGATGCTTGGGTTCTCGTTTAGTTTGCTTTGCCGCGGGGGAGCGATACGGGGTGGACGGACAGACAACGGTGGGAAATAGCTTGGGGAGAGAGCTCCGTTGGGAGGGAGCGAGATGGAAGCGTGGACATGGTGGACGGACGGGAAACCGTGGGAAATAGCTTAGAGCTCCGTTGGGAGGGAGCGAGATGGGAGCGACGACAGGGTGGACGGACGGGAAACCGTGCGAAATAGCTTGGGGACAGCTCCGTTGGAAGGGAGCGAGATGGAAGCGACGATAGGGTGGACGGACGGGAAACCGTGGGAAATAGCTTGGGGAGAGCTCCGTTGGACACCATGGACGGATGGGAAACCATGGGAAATGACTTGGGGAGAGGGGCGGGAAAGCGTGGGAAATAGCTTGGGGAGAGCTTTGTTGGGAGGGAGGGAGATGGAAGCGATGACACATTGGTTGGACGGGGAGCGATGACAGTGGACGGACGGGAAATCGTGGGAAATAGCTCGGGGAGAGCCCCGTTGGGAGGGAGCGAGATGGAAGTGCGGACATCGTGGATGGACAGGAAACCGTGGGAAATAGCTTGGAGAGGTCCATTGGGAGGGAGCGAGACGGAAGCGTGGACGCCAAAACCGTAATAGCTTGGGGAGAGCTCTATTGGGAGGGAGCGAGATGGAAGCGGCGACAGGGTGGACGGACGGGAAGCCGTGGGAAATAGCCAGGGGAGAGCTCTGTGTGAGGGAGCGAGACGGAAGCGTGGACATCGTGGACGGATAGGAAGCCGTCGGAAATAACGGGGGGAGAGCTGTTGGGAGGGAGGGAGACGGAAGCGTGGACACTGTGGACGGATGCTTGGGGAGAGCTCCGTTGGGAGGAAGCGTGGACACCGTGGACGGATGGGAAACCGTGGGAAATAGATGGGGGAGAGCTGCATTGGGAGGGAGCGAGACGGAAGCGTGGACATCGTGGACGGATGGGAAACCGTGGGAAATACCTTGGGGAGAGCTCTGTTGGGAGGAAGCCGCATACTGAGAAGCAGAGCTGTCAGCCCGGGTTTTCAGGACAAACTCCATGAATGCGATTGTGCCGAAAAACTGTGCGCCCAAGCCTTCTTAAGGGATTTGCAAACGTTGGGCGATGGGACATGCATAGCTTCGTTGGCAGGGAGCCCACTAAAAATGCACAGCTGTTGGCACAGGTTTTTCAGGACAAATTTCATCAATACCATTGTTCCGAAAAACTGTGCGCCCAAGAGCTGCCAAAGTTTCCAAACCCTGGGCCATGGGACATGCATAGCTTCGTTGGCAGGGAGCGAAACTAAAAGAGCAGAGCTGTTGGCACGGACTTTTCAGGACAAATTCCATCAACGCGATTGTCCCGAAAAGCTGGTGCCAAAGACTTTTCAAACGGTGTCTAAACGCTGGGCAGAGGGACATGCCGGACATGCATGGGAGAAAGTTCTTTACTGGAGGGGTTTCATTTTGCACGGCGTTCTGTCCGTCGATGCTTGGTTTTCGCTCCCTTTGCAGCAAAGGAAACTAAACGAGAACACAATCAAGCATAGGATATGCATCAGCGTGAACGGACAGGTGGGAAAATAGCTCGGGAAGAGCTCTGCTGGGAGGGAGTGGTGCTGAAAATGCGGAGCTGTTGGCAGGGGTTTTACACAGAGCAGCTTTTACACAGAGGAATGCGGAGGAGCTTTACACAGAGGAGCTTTATACAGAGGATCTTTTACACAGAGAAGCTTGTACACAGGGAGGACTTTACACACTCAGAGCCTTTTGCACAGAGAAACATTTGCACAGGAAAGGGTTTACACACAGAAGCTTTTACACACAGCCAGCTTTTACACAGAGAAGCCCCAACACAGAGAAGCATTTACCCAGAGAAGCTTTTACACAGAGAAGCTTGTACACACACAGAGGAGCTTTTACACACAGACGCTTTTACACGAAGAAACCTTTATACAGCGCAGTTTTTCACAGAAACGTTTACACACAGAGGAGCTTTACACACAGAAGCTTTTACACACACACAGAAGCTTTTACATGGGAAAGCGTTTACACAGAGAAGCTCTTACACACAGAAGTTTTTACGCAAAAAAGCGTTTACACAGAAACTTTTACGCACAGAAGCTTTTACACACAGACGCGTTTACACAGGAGTGTTTACACAGGGGTGCATTTACACACAGAAGCCTTTACGCAGAGGAGTTTTTACACAGAGAAGTCTTTACACAGACAAGCCTGTACACACGGAGGCTTTTACAGAGAGAGGCTTTTAAAGAGAGAAGTCTTTTACACAGAGAACTCTTGACACAGAGGAGCTTTTACACAGAGAAGTCCTTACACAAAGGAGATTTACACACAGAAGCTTTTACACGCAGACATGTTTACACACAGAAAGTTTTACAAATAGAGGCTCTTACGGCGCACAGAAACTTTTACACAGAGCAGCTGTTACACACACAGAAGCTTTTATACAAAAAGGTCTTTACAAAGAGAAGTTTTTACACACAGGAGCGTTTGCACAAGGAAACTCTTACACAGGAAAGCTTTTACACACAGAAGCTTTCACACACAGAAGGTTTTTACACCGAGAAGTCTTAAACAGAGGAGCTTTTACGCACAGACGCGTTTACACAGAGAAGCCTGTACACAGGGGAGCTTTTGCACACAGAAGCCTTTTACGCACAGAAGCTTTGCACCGAGTAGCTTTTACACAGAGAAGTCTTTTACACAGAGAAGCTTTTACGCACAGACGCGTTTACACAGAGAAGCCTTTACACAGAGGAGCTTTTACGCACAGGCGCGTTTACACAGAGAAGCCTTTACACAGAGGAGCTGTTATGCACAGACGCGTTTACACAGAGAAGTCTTTGCACAGAGGAGCTTTTGCACGCAGAATCTTGTACACACAGACGCGTTCACACACATAAGGTTTTACAAACAGAACTTTACGGCGCACAAAAAGTTTGCATAGAGCAGCTTTTTCGCAGCGAAGCTTGTTCACACAGGGGAGCTTTTATACGCAGAAGCTTTTACAGAAAGATATTTTTATACACAGAAGCTTTTACTCACAGAAACTTTTACACACAAAAGCTTTTACACACAGAAACTTTTACACAAAAAAAGCCTTTACACAGAGGAGCTTTTACACACAGACGGGTTTACACAGAGGAGTCTCTACACACGGAGGCGTTTACACAGGGAAGCTTTTACACACAGAAGCTTCTACACAGAGTAGTTTTTGCACAGAGAAATCTTTACACAAAGAAGTCTTGACACAGAGAAGCTTGCACACACACACACAGAGGCTTTTACACAGAGAAGCCTTTTACACAGAGCAGCTTTTTCACAGAGGAGCTTTTACACAGAGGAACTTTTACACAGAGAAGCTTGTACATTCAGAGGCTTTGACACAGAGAAGTCTGTTACACAGAGAAGATTTTACACACAGAAGCTTTTACACAAAAACCTTAACACAGAGGAGCTTTTACACACAGAAGGTGGTACGCAAAGAAACTTTCACAAACAGAAACTTTTAGAGAGCAGGACGCTGTGGGAGTGATTTTTTTAATTGTTTTTTCAAAACTGTAATCGCATTAAAGCTTAAGCTACAGATGAAGCTGTGTTCATGTCCACTAGAGAGCATGTATTACTTGAAGAAGTGTCCAGGTGTTCACTCTACCTTAGATAAATGCTACTACATTGTCCCTTCAACAAGTAGACACAATTTCTGCAGAATATGCTAGATGACTTCAACATAATTACAACATCCCCATACCTGCCAACAAATGCCGTATTCAACATAAACATATCCTTCTGAATAAGAGTAATCTTCCTTTGGGGCAATGCAGTGCGTCTTTGCAGGACAATATCCAAACAAAATATGAAGTATTCCTTAAAAAAATGCACCATGCCCTTTAAAGGAGTGCACTGTGCATTTCCAGATGTCTAACCCTCCTTTCAAAGGAGCAATACCCCTTTTAGAAAAGTCAATATTTCTGCATGATATATGCAGTATTATTGACATAGGGCATCCCTTTTAAAAGTGCAATATGTTTGAAACTGTGAGCACTACCATACGTATGTTCAAACAATATTTGTTTGTCTTAAGATTTAAAGATGCACATTCTTCAAATTACAATATTTTTCAAGAGGGGAGCTGCCTACACCAAAGGGTGTTATTCCCAAAATATGGTTCGTTGTCTTGGACGAATATCACATTATGCATTCAGAAAAATGATGTGCAATTGTGAAAGACATATCTTATATGCTTACATGTGCCATGTGTTTTTCATTTAAGAAAATATATTGCGCAAAGGGCATTGCATGTGCAAGAGGGTTCATTTTTGACATAGAAGTAGACTAAGACATGACCTACTTCAATGGGATGCTCTACCGGGCTCTACCATTTTAAAAAAGAATTGCACTTGTTGAAGGAAGCACTCACTTCAAAGAGATGCATCACTCCTTTTCAAGGGAATCTTTCAAAGTGTATGAACATGTGCTAATCCAACGGTTTGAGCCAAGCATGTCATTATCAAAATCAGTTCTACACATTCATTGGCTGCCTATGTTTTTGCATTGTTCAACACCGTTTTTGAAAGATTACATAAACAGACAAAATTGCCTAATTTGTGTCCCAAGCCCCCCAAGCTCCCTCCAGTGATACCGGCATTTTGCCATAGTTTTTTACATTGTTTTCTGATGGAACCACAGGCCCAAAGCAAATAATAAAATCAACCAAAAGCAAGTTTGAAACCCCTAAAGTGGGAGAACTGGCAAAGAGTTAGGTCTAGGTCCTTGCCCCTTCAAAAAACCAACAGCGAACCAGAAAACAAGAAACCAAAAAACCAAGAAACCAAAAAAAAACAAGATTGCACACCCCAAGGGGGGGAGTAGTGGCAGAGAGTTGGGTCTTGTCATTTTTTTTTGGTTTCTTGTTTTTTTTTGGTTTTGGTTTTGTTTAGCCATTGCAGAAAAGCCAAGCAGAAATTGTCAATGGTTGCAAAGCAGTGAGAGAGCCATGGCACATGTGCAGTGTCAGTGGTTGCAGAATGCAGTGAAAAACTGCACTCCCAGGGTGTCCCCTTCTGAACTTTTACACACAGAGGACGTTTTACACAGAAGTTTCTACACACAGAAGCTTTTACACAAAAAACATTTACCCAGAGAAGTTTTTACCCACAGAAGCTTTGACATACAGAAGCTTTTACGCAAAGAAACTTTTACACACAGAAACCTTTACACACAGAAGCTTTTACACACAGAACTTTTTGGTGACGGCGCCCCTCGAGGGGCGGGACTGTTGTCACTTTTGTACATTGTCTTTTTTTTGGAAGGGTTTTGGGGGGGTGTAATAGCGTCCTGTGGTCTGCGTTTTCAATAACGATTTCCTGATACGTTGTAACATCATCATCCAGTAACTTGCAAGAAGTTCCTGATACGTTGTAACATCATCATCCAGTAACTTGCAAGACGTTCCTGATACGTTGTAACATCTTCGCCCAGTAACTTGCAAGACGTTCCTGATACGTTGTAACATCATCGTCCAGTAATTTGCAAGACGTTCCTGATATGTTGTAACATCATCGTCCAGTACCTTGCAAGACGTTCCTGATACATTGTAACATCTTCGTCCAGTAACTTGCAAGACGTTCCTGATACTTGTAACATCTTCGTCCAGTAACTTGCAAGACGTTCCTGATACGTTGTAACACCTTCGTCCAGTACCTTGCAAGACGTTCCTGATACTTGTAACATCTTCGTCCAGTAACTTGCAAGACGTTCTTGATACGTTGTAACATCATCGTCCAGTACCTTGCAAGACGTTCCTGATACGTTGTAACATCTTCGTCCAGTAACTTGCAAGACGTTCTTGATACGTTGTAATATCATCGTCCAGTGACTTGCAAGACGTTCCTGATACGTTGTAACACCTTCGTCCAGTAACTTGCAGGACGTTCCTGATATTTTGTAACAACAGCTGCCTTGATGAGACATTGCCTAATATTGCAATGGTTGCACGAAGTGTTGGCTCCTGGCTACTCCCTATGGGACCGGTTAGGAAAGATTTGCAAAAAGCACAACAACAGAGTTGGACTATGGCGTCTCGCATGAAGATGAAAAAAGAGTGACGATTGTCCACTTTCAGAAACGCTGACAGCGCCGCACTTCGACAGGCGCCGTAACCAAGGTTTCTCACAAAAAACCTTTACACAGAGGAACTTGTACACAAAGAAACTTGTACGCGCTGTTTACACACAGTAGCTTTCATGCATAGAAGCTTTTGTACAGAGAAGTCTTTGCCCATCTTTCATCATCATGTTTCATCTTTCAGGATCATTCACCATCTGTCATCTTCATATCTTCGCTTTCATGCTCTCCGTTGTTTAGTTTTCATCTCGCACGGTGTTCTGCCCGTCCACGCTTCGTCCTGGCTCCCTCTGCGGTGAAGCAAACTAAACGAGAACCCAGGAATAAATAGCGACTAGAAAGATGGGATAGAGTTAGTTACATGAGAAGAAATAGCGACTAGAAGAATGTAGACGTAGCTCACACAGCATGCTCTGGTGAATTGTGGCCCCTGATGCCATCAGTGCGCACGATGTTTCAGTAAAGATCTTACGTCGATTTCGTGCAGAGCACAGCTGCCCACACCACAAGTTTTTTTTTTTAAAGGCGTGCTGTGTGCCGTCTTGCTTTTGGGTTCTCTCTGGCCCACCTTGTTTTGATCACCGTACTTTCTTACCCGCTACATTTCGGGTTAGGATTTCATCAGCGGCTACATCCACTGGAAATCGACCAAACATCATTCTCACAGGCAATATCAACGTACTTGGGATGATTCTCGTTAGCCCGGGGCTTGAGATGAACCGTCCAAACTTTTTATTTTCTCTAAGAAGCAGGCGGTGGGTTTGTCATGGCTTGGCACATTGTATGGTGATACAACGTGTCTTTACATATTTACACGTAGATTGAACATCTATATCATATCTATACCTCTTTCCATATCTACATCTCTATGTTTACATCTGAATCTACATCTATGTCTACAAAATATATGTATATATATATATATGTATATATTTATATATGTATATATATATATTTAAATAATATACATACATATATATTTCACCCATCCCCTCGAGGAGTGATGTCCTGGACGCCCTGGAGAGCACCGTTGGCCGAAGCGACACAGTGCGGCGCATCGCGGTCTGCACCATGTTGGCGCCGCAGAAAGGCGAGAAGGGGGAGAAGGGGGAGAAGGGGGAGAAGGGGGAGAAGGGGGAGGAGTTGGGGGGTATAAAACTGGCAGTTTTTGCCATGGGATGATGATTTCTTTGGGGATTTGAGAATGGACCTTTTAACCACATTCGGGAGGCTCTGAGAAATTGCTGAATGTTTGGGCGGAAACATGTAGACACAACATGAAACATAATTCATAGTATACATACATCTATTTGTCTCTAATAGTTTCGTTTTTTTAATAATGGGCCTGATCAGATTGCTATTTTTTGTGGCACTTCTGAGGTAACGGCCTCGCAACTTTGGATTTGCGGCTTCAGAGGGCCAGATCTGGCAGGAGGGGTTTGGGGCCTGGCAAGCTCCAAACTTGGCCTGAACAAATATGAGAAAACAATCGCAGTTGGCTATCTTCAGCATGATTCTCTTTTGGAGTGTCGGTGAAACAAATTGGATGCGCAGTATGAGTAGAGGGTTCATGGTTTACGCATGTTTGCGAAATGATGGCTGCAAATTGTCCACAAAACATCATTTGTTTATAGTATTGTATGTTTCCTCAAGAAAAGGGTATTTTCCGGTAGCAGGTTATCTATTACATTACCGGAGGGTGCAACTTTTGGGGGGTATCTCATTCTTGAGGATTTGCTATTTGACATTTGTCTCATGGTTCATCCCAGTTATATCCCAAGAGTATCCCATGACCCTCGGCACCAGGCCTGAAGCCTGCGCCGCCGCAAAGGATGTGATGCTGCGCCGTGGCGATGAGGCCTTTGAACTTGAGAGGCGGCCAGCGCGGCCAGGGCCACCGACTCTGACCAAGCAACAGCGGAATGTTAACATCTACAGAGTCTACATATATGAGCTACAGCCAAAATTTACCGTAATGGAAAGTAGTACTAGAGACATCTGTATTTTTTTGAAATTGAGCTGGGGCTTGGAAAACGACAATACATTCTTCAAAAAAGATAACATTTGCTATATTCCCAAAACCTCAAAAACGATAATTAATACATTCTTCAAAACTTGATGACTTGGAGCTATATACTAAATATTGACCGTGGCCCATATGCATATATAGGTGTATATGTATGTATATAGAAGATATGTATACGTACGTATATGTATGTATATATATATAGGTTTATATTTTAGATATCAGATGTATCGCAGATATCACGTGTATCACCATTATCAATATTATCACCATCATCACAGACACATGTATATATGGCCCAGGGTTTGGTGGTCCCCCCCTCCCCCCCGAGATGGTGATGGTCCCTATATGTATATGTAATCGAAGGAAGTTCAAAAGTCAAACTTCTGACAATACGGACAGATGAAAAGCAGAGATGGGAAGAGTCAGAGAAGAGAAGAGAAGAAGAAAGAAGTTCAAAAAGAGAAAGAGCGAGAAGAAAGAAGATCCAGGTGCGCGAATAGGTAGGAAAGTCGCGAAACTCTGTGTTTTTCCAATGATTTGTGGCTCCGGAGGGTCGAAAAGTAGGCTCGCTAAAACGGCGGGTGCGGAGCCAGCTGGCCAGATGAGAGATGAAAAATTGCACGCCGCTGTGGCGAGAAACACATTTCCAAGTCAAAAGTGTTAAAAACTGACCGGTTCAGAGCACTTTTGGACGTTGAGATGCCGAAAAAGTGCACGCCGCTGTGGCGCGAAGCACATTTCCAAGTCAAAATGTACAAACCACCTCAGCCTCGGAGCACTTTTGGAAGTTGAGATGTCGAAAAAGTGCACACCGTTATGGCGCGAAACGCATTTGCAAGTCAAAACGTACAACGCACACCATGCTCGGACCACTTTTGGAAGTTGATATGTCGAAAAAGTGCGCGCCGTTGTGGTGTGAAGCACATTTCGAAGTCAACATGTACAAAGCACCACATGTTCGTGCCACTTTTGGACGTTGAAGCGTCGTTTTGCATGGCAGGCGCAAGGGATTGTGCACCTTATCAAAAGTGAGCAAAACGTGAGGGTTTTGTGCCATTTCTAAAAACGATGGCAGGCGTGTGACATTTGAAGAGGATCTGCAAAGATGCATTTTCCGTGGCAGGCGCAGTACAAGAGACATGTTCATCAGAGATGTTAGGAGGTGAGGGCGCTGATTTCTTGAGAGGGGTTGCATTTTGGAGCATCAGATCTGTAGGTTTGCTAAGATGATTTTGCGTGGCAAGTGCAGCACTTCGCATGACCCGGCATCACTTTTTCGTGGCAGGCGCAGTACTTTCGAGAGGTGGACTGGAAAAATCGCACACGCATTGGTACGAGGCCGTCAGCTCTACACTCAACTTTCCATTCTTGAGGGAAGTCTCGCAGAATTGCTTCGTTTTGGATGTTGTCAAGTTCAAAAATTGAGGAAGTTTCGCAGAATTGCTTCGTTTTGGATGTTGTCAAGTTCAAAAATTGAGGAAGTCTCGCAGAATTGCTTCGTTTTGGATGTTGTCAAGTTCAAAAATTGAGGAAGTTTCGCAGAATTGCTTCGTTTTGGATGTTGTCAAGTTCAAAAATTGAGGAAGTGTCGCAAAATTGCTGCCTTTTTCAAGCTTGCAGATAGACAGATCCACATGTCAATAGGTATATATATATATATAGGACATCAGAACGACATACTGAGCAAACCAACATGGGATATGATCCCATTCAACATGGGGATATGAGCCAACCCAAACATGGGGATAATGGGGAAAGTATCCAACCAAAACATAGGGACGGCATAGCAACCCTTGGAAGATGGTGGATGGAAGTGCTCAGGAGCACTGCCAGTCCTTCAATGGACGATCGAAAAGAGCTTTTGCGTACAGATCGTCAGTTCGGCCCATCATTTCGAGGTGTTTGAAGAATGGCCCACTGCATTTGTTTGCTACCAGCCTGGAGGTTTCACTCTATGGAGCTGTTGGGGACTGCGCCAAAGAAGCCTCCCCTGACAGAGGTGCAACCGGGGACACAGGGGCTGCGGGCACCCACAAGATGCGATGACTTGACCCTGGAAGAAGATGCTGTTGGTTCCCTGGTCCAAAGGTCCCGGGAAAGCACAGCACCCTGGTCGAAAACCATGAAATCAGCACATAGTTTCATGGTCCCTGACGTGGACCTATACACATAATCGAACTTTGCCGTGCCTTGTTTTTTTCCTGGCAGGGTGGATGTGGCGGGGCCTGTAACTTGATGAAATTTTCCAAAAAACCGTCTTGGGTTCTGGATCAGAGTCATATAGACATGCAGAGACATAGACCATGATGGCTGGTCGACTTTGACGATACTCAAGCGTGACACACTGGAGACCGCTGCCGGGAATGGGCTCGGAGATTGGCAACCCATTTTTCTGGAGCTCATACAGGCCACACTGAAGGGACAGGGTTTCATCACAAAAATCCTGCACCATTTTGGTGGCTAATGATCGCCTTCCAGGAGCAGAAAGCTGTGGTTTTGAAATTAGTCTCCGTCCTTGATGGAGCGGACAAAGTGCACCTTGGAAGCAAGGAAACCCAATTGGAGAGTGTTCAAAACCTATGTTGGTTGATGAGCATATGGGGCTTTACTATCCCATAGATTGATATGCATGTATATATACATATATATCCCTGTGTACATTTCCGCTTTGACATGGCTTCACCCATGTTCCATTCCGGGGGCATTTTTCTAACAAACAGAGGCATTTTGTAAGGACATTTTTCTGGTCAACCATGCCATTGTGTAAAAAGCGCGTTTACTGTTGGGCGAATCATTTTGTAAGAGTCAACATTCTTTACAAAATGGCGTCGGGACCAATCATTTCATAACGCTATTTTGGGTTCATTTCAGGCAGCGCAAGGGAGGGTATTGAAATCTTGGCCATGCCCAGGAACGAGGGTTTCTTCTCTAAAGTTTTAGGAAGGAAGGAAGGAAGGAAGCCTCGTGAAGATGGGTGCTGCCGAAGCCTCGGGGACTGGGAAAAAAGATTGCGGGGTTTCCTGGGGAAAGTTGGACATGTACAAGTAAGACATATTTCCAAACAAACCATGTTTTAAGACACACGCTTTTTAAGATGATTGGGTTTGGGGCCTGGAAATTAACTTTGGGCAACCATTTTGTAAGGCGCCGATTTTTTTTTTGGGGGTTCACCGGTGTTTGCTGGGGAATCACACCAAGCCTCGTGCCCAACCCATTTTGTAAACCCCTAACCATGGATGTTTGTAAGTTAAACTGCTGGGTCCCTTACAAAATGGTTGCCCTGACGTCACCTGGTAAATGTGCAGGGGGACACACACATATTTATATATATATAATATATATAATAATATATATATATATTACATGGGGATTATCATGATCCAATATGGTAAAACCCTACAGCTGGGAGAGGATCACATTTAACTCCTTCTTTTTGGGTAAATGGTGATAAATCTCGTTCTCTATATCTGTATGCATACACATTATCATATACAAACATGTACATACATAGATGTCTACAGAAACTGGAGAAGCTTGGTAAATGCCAATATACCCCAGTCATGAACGGTTTATACCGCAGTGAGTGTATCAATGATTCTCAAAGTACTGGAAGGACCGCGAAGCGCTGCTGCCACGGTGGTGCTCCCTTTTTGTATCATCAGCTTATCAGCTCCTTTATCCTTGGCAAAGATCCATTTACCCTCTGGTCATTTGTTACAGTTTGCTATTGAAAGTGGCACTATCTTAGTTCGTTGATTTACCTGGTGATTATCCATAGCTATCTTAGTTTTACCATGTTTTACCTATTATATAATTCGATTAGTTTGATGGTGATTTTCCATAATTGTCCAGTTTGCAAACTGTCACCAGCCGCGACCTGAGGCGCCCCAGCTGGCCACTGCGGCAGATGAAAGACCTAGACTCCGAGAGCCTGGGAGATGTGGCCGAGTACCTGGCGCAGCACGTGTTCCTTGGCGCAACGCCATGGCGCCACCGGGGTGTACTTAGTGAAGATGGGAAGACAAGAAGATGAACAAGATGACATGAAGTGGAGGGTTAAGTCTAAGTACTTTTTTGTTTGAGACAATAGATGCTTGAGAAAAGCTGATAGGCTTCAAAACAAATTAAGCCCTGAGAAATTGCTGGTTTTCCTTTTGATGGCAAAGGGATGAGCAAAAAGAATGGGTTGAGGCCGGCTGAGGGTCACTTTTCCGGCTGAGTTTGATGATTTTATTTGCGGCGACTTATAGATTTGGATTGAGAGATCCAGTTTGATGCGAACGCAGTTTGATGCAAATCCAAATTGTTCCCACTGCGAATGCATGTGCGTTTGGGTGATGTTGGCTTTGGTGTTTCACACGTTCCTACCAAAGAGCCAGCAGGGCTTGGCTGAAAATAGGGTATCGTAGCCCCAAATTTGATGGTTGATAGTTGATCATCATTTTCCCTGCGATTTTGGGGCATCCCCCATGGTTGGACAAAGCCAAATACCATATTGTTGGTAACATATCCGATAAATATACCACTAATCTCATTCAGTTGGTCATATATCCCATTAATTTTAGAGCTGACTCTCATCGTCGGCTCCGCCGGATTACTTGACCCTCGATGTCATCGCAGGGTGGGCTTGAAAGCTATTGAATGAGGACCTGCTGCTTCAGAAATATATTCCTTATGCTTTTTTGAACATATTCATGGAATCATGGAACTGCGTTTTTTTTTCTTGGAGCAAGTGGGCTTGTTCCCGAAAGCTCCTGCGAAGGGTTTTTCCTAAAGAACTGCTGCCAATTTCAACTTTCCACTTCGTGTAAAAGCGCCTCTGGGTAAAGACTTCTTTGTGTAAAAGCTTCTGTGTGTAAAACCTTCTGCGTGTAAAAGCTTCTCTGTGTAAAGACTTCTCTGTGTAAAAGCTTTTGTGTGTAAAAGCTTCTGTGTGTGAAAGCTTCTCTGTCTAAAGATTTCTCTGTGTAAAAACTTCTGTGTGTAAAGCGCCTGTGTGTAAAAGCTCTCTGTGTAAAGACTTCTTTGTTTAACAGCGTCTGTGTGTAACAGCTTCTGTGAGTAAACGCCCTTGTGTCTAAAAGCTTCTGTGTGAAAAAGCTTCTGGGTGTAAAAGCTTCTCTGTGTGAAGACTTCTCTGTGTAAAATCTTCTGTGTCTGAAAGCTTCCGTGTGTACAAGCTCCCTCTGTAAAGACTTCTTTGTATAAAAGTTTCTGTCTGTAAACGGGCCTGTGTGTGAAAGCCCTCTGTGTAAAGACTTGTTTGTGTAACAGCGTCTGTGTGTAACAGCTTCTGTGTGTAAACGCCCTTGGGCGTAGAAACTCCTCTGTGTAAAGGCTTCTCAGAGGCTTCTCTGCGTAAAAAACTTCTGTGTGAAAAAGCTTCTGCGTGTAAAAGCTTCTCTGTGTAAAGACTTCTCTGTGTAAAAACTTCTCTGTGTGAAAGCTTCCGGGTGTAAACGGTCTCTGTGTAAAGACTTCTTTGTGTAAAGTTTTCTGCCTGTAAACACGCCTGTGTGTTAAAACTCTCTGTGTAAAGATTTCTTTGTGGAACAGCGTCTGCGTGTAACAGCTTCTGTGTGCAAACGCCCTTGTGTCTAAAAGCTTCTGTGTTAAAAAGCTTCTGTGTGTAAAAGCTTCTGTGTCTAAGAGCCGCTCTGTGTAAAGACTTCTCTGTGTAAAAGCCCCTGTGTGTGTAAAAGCTTCTGTGCGTAAAAGCTTGTGTGTAAACGCGCCTGTGTAAGAGCGGGGAGTGATCTTCTGCTAAAGAAATGCATTTTTTCATTTTTGGTAGTACTGGTGACATTAGTTTGGCGTGTGCTGCCATTTTTGGTAGTACTGGTGACATTAGTTTGGCGTGTGCTGCCATTTGGTCAATATGGATCGCGAAGTCTTTACGCAAACTGTCTGGGGGGCTCATTGAATTTGGTATCCTTCCCCGGCTTTGGCACACATGCCTATGTCTTCTTTCCCCGGCTTAACAATGAGCAAGTGGAGATGGTACCGGACAAAGATCATCCGGTTGAACGCCGCAACGCCAACGTCATGTGAGATCCGACTTTTCCAATATGTAGAATCTAAGATATCCGCAGCAAGAATAATTACGTCAATATCGTGTGATGCCTACATATATATGTATTATATGTGATATATATATATATGATTATATGATATACATATATATATGATATATATATATACATGATATATATATATATATGTATGATATATATATAATATATATATATACATATGAGATTTATATATGCTTATGACATAGTTTATGGGAAATTGTTGGAGCATGATCTTGGCATTCACACGACTGATCTTCGTGACATTGACACGAGTCATGTTGAAGCCATGCCGCGAGCGTGTATTGCATGTGGTGCTGGTGTGGGCGGATCCTCGACTGCGATCGCTGGGGCGCTGTGCCTTGGCAGGAGGGCCCGCACTGTAGCTTCTGCTACAAGATTTTGAAATAAGGGAAAGAGAAGCCGTTTGGGGGGAGTTGAGGTTCATGGCGTAGGAGCGGGGCGCAGTGCCAACAATGTTGGGGTGAGCGGCTGCAGGTTGAAGGTGTTGGTCACGGCGGAGTTGGTGGAGCTGGGTGGCGAAGAGGTGCACAAAGTATCCAGACAAGCGTGAACAGCCTCGGAGAAGCCCTGAAACGGGGAAGATGGCAAACGTCACCTTAGGAAGCCACAAAGAAACTGAGGGAACCTTTACCAGAAGGCCCCTAGACAGGCTTGGACAGCCTTGGTGGAGCCCCGCGAACCCTGCGAAAAGGAGAAGATGGCAAACGTCACCTTAGGAAGCCATTAAGAAATTGAGGGAACCTTTGCCAGAAGGCCCCCAGACGGGCTTGGACAGCCTTGGTGCAGCCCTGCGAACCCTGCGAAATAGGGAAGATGGCAAACGTCACCTTCTGCGAACCTTGCGAAACAGGGAAGATGGCAAACGTCACCTTAGGAAACTGAGGGAACCTTCACCAGAAGGCCCCCGGACGGGCTTGGAACCCTGTGAAACAGGAAGATGCCAGATGGCCTGGGTGCAGCCCTGCAAACCCTCCGAACCCTGCGAAACAGCGAAGATGCCAAACGTCACCAAGGAACGCATTAAGAAACTGAAGGAACCCGCACTAGAAGGCCCCCAGATGAACTTGGACAGCCTTGGTGGATGAATAAGCTGTAAGAATGCTGCCAGACGTCACCTTTGGAAGCGCTACGAAACAGGGAAGATGAATGGCGATTGTATATGGCCATGTGTGGTTCAGGCTTCTCTGGCGCGCTCCCTCTTGAGGGGCCCGCGGATATTCGTCCCATATATCCCATATAATTATTCAATCAACCATTTCCCCAACTGTATCTGGGGCCGAGCCGATGAAGTTGGGAACTTTCGAAAATCGTCGAAGCAATCTAAGGCCCAAACGAGTGGCAGGCAGTGCGACGGATGCAGAGCTGCTGTATTTGTTGGATGCATTGGAGTGACTCGAAGAATGGTGGATAAAACCACGGGAAAAACCATGGGATCGCTGAGAACTATGGGATGAGGGGACTATGGGATAAGAGTTGAGCAGGATCATTGTTTGGGGGGGTTTAAGTTAGGTACACGCCGAAAACGCGCGATAACTGCTAAAAACACCCGACCAGCAAACACGCCTGGCAATGGAAGATGCACATTAGGCATATCAAATAAATCATTTGCAGATTTCGGAAGTAAGAAGTATTTTCGATTGTCAACCGCCTGCTACCCAGGTTGGTTGCCACGACGGGAAGCAAAGGCTCTTCAAGTTGTGCTACGCAGCTCGACGGGCATCAGTTCAAGATATTTTCCCATGATTTCATTGTGGTTCACTATTAACCAGCAGATACGGGGATGCCATCCAAAATGCGGACACTGGTTGGTGGGCTTATCTCCAATGTATTCCATCCAACAAATTGGATGATGATCAGAATTGACATATTCCGTTAATGGCCACCAAGTGGGCTAAGGCACGGGAACCTCAAAGCCAAGGCACGAAATGTGACATATTTCTGCAACATTCACTGCAATATAATAGACATGAGTGCCTGCAAACATCCGTGAGCAACACATCCAGCAACAGGCCAAGAACTTTCGATTGACATCTGAATGAAATTTAATTTCTGAGGTAGCAAAAGTCAGAACCCCAAAACCCGCAGGACCAAAATCTGAGGTTTCTTCATCTGTGCTTCGCTCCCATTCTGGTACTGTGTCTGGGGCAGCGTGGGCAGCCAGGACGGATACGCTGGGCCCAAAATGGGATCCAAACAGTGATACCTAAAATGTTCCATTTCAATATGGAAAATTATGATAAACCATATGCAACCATCAAACTCGGGGGTATACAAACTATTTTCAGACCCGAATATATACATCTCCAATGGGTTCAGTTTCAGACAGACAGTATGAACACCACCTTTGTCTCAGCACTTTCAGGCCTGTGACATCGGCACCCGGAGGAAATTGCTTCTTCCTGCAACGCATCGAGAATCCAAGGGTCTTGAAATTCCCGCCTGCGGAATGCAAATCTGGTTGTGCCCAGGCTAATTGCCCGCTACATTCGGGTTGGATATGCATGGTTTGATCTTTCCAGTGCAATATTTGATGGTTTCCCTAAGCTATGTTGGATATGGGTTTGTCCAACTAGGCGTTTAAGAGGGAAAACTATACTTTAAGTTGACATTTTTAAGTTGACCTTTGGATCTTATCCGTGTTTCAAAATCCTAATGAGTTGGATTTCAGGGGGTACTTTATTTTGCGACCCAATATGTTTCCCCACGACCTGAGCAGCAGGACCCACTGGTCTCATGAGCTGGTCTCTGGACCCGGGCAATAGCGTGAGCCGGCGGGCTGCAGGCGCCAGGAGGAACTGCACAGCAGTGACCAAGACCCCAGTGGTTGGCATAGGGGGGTTATACTACCTGGTTTCTTGGTGACCAGAATAGGGATATCTGTTTTTTCCACCATTTTTTTCTGTGCCTTGCATCATGGGCCAACAGAATGGGATGGGATAATTTTTTCGGCCCAAAATCAAAAGCCCCCCAAGCCGCTGTGTTGTGTCAAATATTGATGATCCAGTTTTGGGTATCACAGCACGATTTGACAATAATTCTCAAGGATTTGTCACTATGGTTGTCTACGGGCAAATTTCCGTGCCTAGGAGGTTTTCAACATTTCTGATTTCAGGGAACTTTCGTTTAAACTCCAGGGCCCTTTTGCTTCATGTTTGGGACGGAAATGGGTTAGATTGTCCAGGATGATGCTGATTTGACTGTTTCTTGATTTGAGCTGCTGAGCTGCCCAGACCTCTTAGCGCGACTGGTTGCGTTGCACCATGACCGCTGGCCCCAACTGGGCTTGGAGGCGGGCTGCGGAGATCTCGGACTGATCCAAGTCAATGAAATCCCCATACTTTACACTTTAGTAACTCATTTGATTCACATATATAACCACAATTTTGGTTGGGTTTTCTCCTAGTTAGCTTCATTTTCTGTGATAGTTGGTTAACTCGTGCTAAATCCATGTTAAACCCATTGAAATCCCCTTTGCTCATCTCCCCATCTCCCCATTGAGTTGACGCAGGTCTTGCAGTTGCTGCGCGAGGCCCTACACCGCCGGCCACCATGGAGAGCCCTCCAGGGCCTGGCCTTGTGCTTGATGCACTTTGGCCCCAGAGCCATCAAGGAGGTCTCGGGGCAAAGGGTTTGATTGTTGGGGATTTGACTTTAAATTGATGGGGATCTAATTTCTAATCATCAATTCATGGGGATTCTAAACATGGCCAGGTTGGACCATTTTTTTTAGGAAACTGATGGGATTAAAGAGACTTTAAACAATGGGATTTAAGCAGCAATTGAAGGGGATTTGAGGCAGAATAGGGAGTTGATCCATTAGCATGCCCTGAGGTTGGCTCAAAATGGGGGACTTGAACAATCGGGACTAAACTGATCTAGTGAAATGGTGATGAAACTCTCAAACTAATTTTGAAACAACTTCAGATGGTCAGGCGGGAAACACATGGAAGCTTTTCTGCTGGATTGCTTCAAAGATTTGTTCTTTTCAATTGCTATTACCAAGTTTCGAAACATATCTGGTACACCAGCCCAGCCTGATTTGCATGAACATCCAAGCACGGCGATGCAAGATTGATTATCATAGAGGCTAAAACATCTGCAATGGCATGTTGGCGAAGAATGATCAACAAAAGCTGTCTCACTAGTTTATTAGTCCAATGTCCGCAGCCATAGTGATAGCGCATACAACTATAGACCATGAGTTTGGAGACTTGACAGTACCGCAGGGTTAGGTTTCCTGGGGGTTACCGTGATAATCCAACTGAAGTTAGCATCTATGCCTAGTAACTCGGTAGATTATCCATGAAAATCCCACAGTTCTAAGGTGCGTAAGGTGTCGAAACAAAGCCAGGTAGCTCGCAGGATGGAATTTCTCCCAAGGTATTCCCTGGGATCATCCCAGGAAGATCCAGCAAGTCATCAACAAACATGTTGTATTCCCATTTTTGTTGATGACTTCTCTCCCACAGATATCACTTGATATCACCCAAAAACATATCCAGATGAATTTCCATTCATAATTGTGAACGTACAGGTTGTACATATTCCACTATATTATTCCCACCAATGATCTTTTATTTGTTGACTTGTTCCATATCCCATTCATGTTGGAACCCCCGCAGCGGCTTTCGCAGCTACTGGACTTGCGCCACACCTATCGTGGCCGCCACGACCCAGCGAGCGGAGCGCCGGCGGTGCTGGCGGTGATGGAGGCGCTGAGGCTGGTGGCTGCAGGCGAGCACGAAAAACAGATCAGAGGAGTCAATCATGTTGGGATGATATATATCACACACGCATACATCTATAATAATAATGATGATAAACATAATGATAATGAGAATAGTGGCAATAATAATCGTGATGATAATAGTAATAATGACAATGACAATGATAATGATACTGATGATGACAATGATACTGATAACGACTCATGACAATAATGATAATAACAATAATAACAGTAATAATGATAATACCAATAATAACGACAATCGCAGCAACAACAACAATAATAACAATAATAACAATAATAACAATAACAATAATAACGATAATAATAACAATAATAATAATTAATTATTATTATTAATAATAATAACAACACTAATAACAGTAATAGCCGAAGGAAGTTTAGAAGTCAAACTTCCGACAATATGGACAGATGAAAAAGCAGAGGTGGGAAGAGTCAGAAAAGAGAAGAGCAGAGAAGAGAAGAGAAGAGAAGAGAAAGAGTCAGAAGAAAGAAGGTGCAGGTGCGCGAAAAGGTAGGAAAGTCGCGAAACACTGTGTTTTTCGAATGATTTGTGGCTCCGGAGGGTTGAAAAGTAGGCTCGCTAAAGCGGCGGGTGCGGAACCATCTGGCCAGATGAGAGATGAAAAGTTGCACGCCGTTGTGGCGCGAAGCGCGTTTGGAAGTGAACAAGTTAAAAACACTGCGCTTTCGGAGCATTTTGGGAAGTTGAGATGTCGAAAAAGTGCACGCCGTTGTGGCACGAAGCACATTTCCAAGTCAAAATGCATAAAGCACACCAGGTTCGGAATTTTTGGAAGTTGAGATGTCGAAAAAGTGCACGCCGTTGTGGCGCGAAGCACATGTCGAAGTCAAAATGTTAAAAGCACCACATGTTCGGATCACTTTTTGACGTTCAGATGTCGTTCTGCGTGACAGGCGCAAGATTTTGCACCTTGCCAAGAGTGAGCAAAATGTGAGGGTTTGTAGCATTTCCAAAAACGATGGCAGGCGTGGGACGTTTGAAGAGGATCTGGAAAGATGCACTTCGCGTGGCAGGCGCAAAACAAGAGACATGTTCATCAGAGATGTTGGGAGGTCAGGGCGCTGATTTCCTGAGAGGGGTTGCATTTTGGAGCATCAGATCTTCAGGTTTGCTAAGGTGATTTTGCGTGACAGGTGCAGCACTTCGCATGACCTGGCATCACTTTTGCGTGGCAGGCGCAGCACTTTACACAGATGGAGTGGATCCGAGGCCGTCAGAAGTCTCGCAGAATTGCTTCGTTTTTGATGTTGTCAACTTCGAAAATGAGGAAGTCTCGCAGAATTGCTTCGTTTTTGATGTTGTCAACTTCGAAAATTGAGGAAGTCTCGCAGAATTTCTTCGTTTTTGACGTTGTCAAGTTCAAACATTGAGGAAGTCTCGCAGAATTGCGGCGCTTGTGATGTTGTCAAGTCAGCAATTAAGGAAGTCTCGCAGAGTAGCTTCGTTTTCGAACTTGCAGATAGATAGATAGATAGATAGGTAGATAGGTAGATAGGTAGATAGGTAGATAGGTAGATAGGTAGATAGGTAGATAGGTAGATAGGTAGATAGGTAGATAGGTAGATTGGTAGATTGGTAGATTGGTAGATTGGTAGATTGGTAGATTGGTAGATTGGTAGATTGGTAGATAGTTAGATAGGTAGATAGGTAGATAGGTAGATAGGTATATAGGTAAAACGGGAGATAGGGAGACAGGTAGATAGGTATCCCCTACTGGGGGCTGCATCCAAAAAGCAAATGGTCAATCACCCACATATTACCGCATAAAAAACCATATATATATATATATCACCTATAACTTGGTGCTAACATGGTTACAATTCCTACGCACTTAGGATATAGGATCGCCTTTTCTTGGTACCATTTGTTTGGCGAGTGAACTCCAATTCTGCTGGTCCTCCGGGCAGATCACCTCGAAACAGTGATGGAGCACCGCGAACAGCTCGCTAAGGTCTTTGGAGGCGGCATGGGTTGGGGGATGCCCCAGAGGTGTTTTTTCTTGCAATGGGAACTACCAAGCTTGGATGGTTTTGATCTTCGGAAATGAATTCGGATGATTTTGGGGCACTCCGTGTCAAGAAACCACCATATCTGAGATGGTGCAGGGGTTAGTTTTTCTCGGGTGAGGATCCCAGAAATCGCAGGGGTATATCCAAAATGGAAGATGCTCTGACTAGCCAACCAGAACAATCTATATCTTAGCATTTCAGAACCCAGTTTGACGCAACATTTATATCTATCAATCATAATATACGTTTGATTTTGATATATAGATAGATAGATAGATAGATAAATAGATAGATAGATAGATAGATAGATAGATAGATAGATAGATAGATTAGATAGATAGATAGACATATGATTCATATCAGTAGAATGCCATGATAGAGACCCATTTCATATATGCCATATATATATATATACAATCCCATATAATACAACACACACACACATATATATATACACACACATATCTCCTATATCCGACCCCCCCCATTTTCGGATGCCTTAGCTGCGCCAGTTCACCCGGAACTTTTGTTTCTGGTCTTTGGCAATTTGGCCGATGCCAGAGTGGCGCCCTTCGCACGAGGTGCAGTAAACCACCCATATTTTGATGGTTTGCAGCAGCTGTTTCTGGTAAAATTGGGGTCTATTATTGCTTCACCAACGTCATGTCAGGAAAGCAAGGATTTTGGAACCCAAATTTGGTTTTGTCAGATTTGGTGGTTTTGTTCAGGGGCCCGAGTTGAAAAGTTCAAAATAGACTGGGGGCTGTTAGTTTGGGGTGACGGTAAACCGAGCAGCAACCAATTCTAGGACTTGACAAACCTTAGATACACGCGAGGTTTGTTGTTGGGTTTACCACATTGTGTCACCTACCCTTGTATACCCCTCAAGGGGGAGATCATAGGTAGATTTATCTGACAAACTGTGGAATCCAAAACATGGATGATTTGGATGGTCCTCCGATCCAAGAACACTCATTGGCAGGACAAAAGCGGAAACGCCCGGACCAGGCTGTGCCCCCCGGTGGGGCGAAACTGGTTGGGATCCATAACTTATTGCTGGTAGATTATAACGAAGTCACCAAGCTGACTGAGTACCTGGATTCATCCCAAAAACACCTGATTTCAGCTTGGTCAAATACAATTCAGCCAGAGTGGTGGGGACTCCCGAAATTGATGGGAGATTGGACAGGTGAAAGGGTGAAACTCAGGGGCTCTCATGATGACAGATATTACCATCTGGTAATTTAACAGAAATATGGAAGCCATGGCCAGTTTTAGATGATTTACCTATTGAACATGATTTTCCATAGCTATGTTAGTTCACTGGAGGGTAATGGAAAAAACATGGTCCCATATTGTCCCCATTTATCGATATTTGAAATCCACTTTCCGTGGTGCCGCCAGGAGCTGGCCACATCCCCTAGCGTTGCAGTGGAGGCGTTCCCGATGGCCACCGGATGATCCCAACTGGTACAGCGGTTGACGCCTGGCAGGTTGCCGCACTTGCGCAAGCCAACCAAAAACTGGTGTGGCGCCAAGGAGTTTGTGTCACCTTGGTTGAATTGTGCTGTATTGATGGCCAGAATCATTCCTGCAACTTTACTTGCGAGCCAGAATGATTACGGTTGGGGGTGTAGCAGTTGCAGCATCGACATCAAATCGATATTCTGTCTTATCTCATGCTGTTTAGGCTGGTATTGTTCAAAAAAGCCACCAACATTCGGCAAGAAAACCATGAAAAGCCACATCCCCCATGGTTTCCTTGGTTTCCCCCATGGTTTCCCCATCCTCCGAAGTGGCTTCCCAAGGTGCTGGCGCAAAGGCCCCGCAAGCGCTTGAAGGTGCCGAGTTCGAACGCAAACATGGGCATGTCCAAGGGAAAAACAGATGTTATGATTGTTATTATTTTGCTATAGCTTATTCACATTGTTATTGTTGTTGCTATTATATAATCATTATTAATTAATAACTATAATAACTATGATTTGATTAGCTACAGTATTGTTATGCTGTACTACTACTACTAATAACCATGATATGATTAGCTACAGTATTGTTATGCTGTACTACTACTAACTACTAACAATGATGCAAATTATACTAGCAGTCATAATGCCAATTACGTTTTCTCCAAAATGCAACCCTTGACCGTCCTGGAGAAATCCAACAGCTGACCTCACCACCACGGCTACCCTGTTTCTCATCCAGCCAAACCAAAGGGTTTCCCAGTTCCACCTGCGGCCCTCAGTCACCGCTCGATGCTGCACCTGTGTTCGGCTTCTCATGTAAAGGGCTGCAGTCGGCCCATGCAAAATGTATTGGACCCGTTCAGGATCAACGCCCTGGCGAAATGAATTTCAAACTGACATGTAAATGGTGGGTTCCAGTGCATGACATGTCTGGCCATACGCACTCCCCCTAGGTGGCATGGTGTCCTTGCCACCTATCGCTAGACTCAAGCCCTCTACGCATTTCCTGCTTGGTTGCAACAGCAAGTTGAATATATGGATTAAAAGCTCTGGCGGCCCCGTTGGAAACATAGCACAGTGGTATTTCGCCCCAAACGGTGTGGTAGACAAGGGGCTGACTCCTCAATGCATTGGCCGGTTCACTCAGCCGACCACCCGCAGCCGCACCAGCGCTGGCAGCAGCGCTCGAAGAAGGCCCAGCCGGCTGAGATCCGCCCGCAGAATATGGCCCAGCCGGCCCGGAGCTGCTCGCCAAAGATGGCGCAGCCGGCCCAGAGCTGCTCGCTGAAGAAGGCCCAGCCGGCCGTTGATTGGCTGCCGCTCCGCTGCCGCTTGAAGCCGCAGGGCTCCTCACTGTTGAGCTTGCTGTTGACCTGGCATCTCTCTTCTTTCTCTCACATGCCTTGTAAAGAAAGGCAGGCAAATTCATCAAAGATCCTTTGTACTGGACAACAGTGACTTTGTCCAGTCTATGCCACATGAACATGCCCATGGTGCATGCTCCAATGAAGATACCGCCAAACAAGATCACAGCCGTAAACAGGGTGAAAGAAAGCTGACTGTCGCTCTGCTGATGCAAAATCGGATTGGAATCCGGGATGATCAAAGCAGTGAAACACTTTTCTGCATCCTTGGTCGCTCCTGACAATGCCAGTTTGGTCACCAAAATGATGATCTTCAGCGCCTTTTCTCGTCAGCTCGCTTCTCAGTCTCTTTCTTTTCCAAGCTTCCCAAAAACATGCCCATGGTTTCTTTGTGCTGGTTACTTCTGCACAGACGAAACTTTGGTACCCAAATCAGCCAGCATATCAGCTCCGGGTAAATGTCGTATCATCCATTCCCCTGTCAAAACCTTTGAGAGCAAGATGAAAGCACGTTTTCTCACATGACGAGTGCGCCATGACCCAGTATCTCCAGCAATGATGGACAGCGCTGCTGAGCTGTCTGTGAAAGAAAAGGATCTCGCACAAACATCCAGTGCCTTCTCCAAAACCACTTTGACTGCATCACCTGCCAGCGCACCCTCAAGTACTTCCACCAGCTCTGATTCTGCAGTAGATGCCCCTTGAATTGGTTGTTTACCAGCCTTCCATAGCAGTAAAGGTGAGCCCCAAAGAATCAAATGACATCCAAAGGAAACATCACTGTAGGAGGCATCCGTGTAAACATTGAGCTGTCTCTCACCTTTGGCATTCTGGAAAATCAAACCTTGGTCCATGGTGGCCGCTAGGTAATACCATACTGGTTTCACCAACTGCACAACCTGCATAGGTGACTTGGTGATCAAAGATGCCAGCTTGGAGACTGTGAATGCAAAATCTGGCCTGGATCTGGCTGTGATCCAAACCAACTCGCCAATGACCCTTTGAGCTTCTGGGGCTGATCCCTCGTGCGGGACATGCACCACTTCCCAAGCGACTTTTATCGGAACGTCGCTATGCAATTGGGTCACTATATACCCGTCAGCCCTCAACCGCATGTACATGTTGATGATCGCTCGCAATACATCCTCTTGGCTTCGAGAGGCAAGTGGCTCGCAAAACTTGGTGGCTTCAATCCTCACTTCTCTTCTTTCTTAAATTTCTTCTTGCGGGTCATCCTTTGGATCTTCTTTCTGATCTTCCTTAGGCTGACCTTCTTGTTCTGCAACTTGATTTTTTTCTTCTGCATCTGGATCTGAAGACGCTCCCCTTTTCGCTTGGCGCGCAGTGGATGTGTCGCCCCAGAGTCCAGCAAGCCTTTGTTGACCATGGGACACAACTTGGAAATGCGAAATGGTCGCATTGAAGCCTTCTTGAGCTGATCAAGCTGTTTCTGCAAGCCCAAGATCTTCTGCTCTGCATCTTCTCCTTTGCTTCTCCTGCATTCATTGACTTGAGCATGCGACTAGCCTCATCTATCAAAGCTTTCATGCTCTCATCTCCCCCAGACTCAGCGGCCTCGGGCTGCCCCTCAGACTTCTCTGGTGAAGATGTCGACGACTTGACATCCTTGCCAGCGCTCTTGGTGCCTAGTTTGGCGGCACGTGGCTTCTGATCTTCCATAGTGGCCATATGGTCTTTGCCATGCCACCGGTCCAGCATCGCTTTGTCGCCATCCAGCAAATGTCCAAAGGGGCATGCACGGCCTCTTCTGCAACCTGAGTCCGTGAGAAAAAACCGGCATGGTTTCTTCTTTGCTTCAACATCTTCTTGAGGTTTCCTTTCGGCCTCAGCTTGTCTTCCCCTTTGACATTCGAAGTCTCCTCAAACTTTCACACCTTTGGCTGGCCTTCTGCTGCCATCTCCTTTTTCTTGGTCTGCTGACCTATCTGTTCCAGTTCTGCAAGAAGATGTTCACTGTACTGCGTCACAGTGTCCAGTGTTGGGACGGTATCCACAAGGAGTGAGCTTTTGATCCAACCCCTTGAGAATGGAGCTATCTGGAATGGAAACTCCAACTTCGAATGCCTTCCTTTTCCGCCTGATCCACCTCCGCAGCTGCACTCAGGATTGCACTCTGCTCTGTCAGTCCACCAGGTTGAAATTGCAGCATTGCTCGCGTCAGTATCCCCAACGCTGTGATGGACTTGGACGCAATCACCTCCTCCTTCAGCAACTCAGGAAGTGCCAAAGAGGAAGCACGTCGTTCCAACCTGGCCCACTTCTTCTGCTGGAGCTCCGGCGTCGGCTTCGCCACATTGGTGAGTCTTTGTATCGGTGAGACATTCGTATGGTTGTCATACAAGGCTCGGGCGGTCGACAACGTCAAATCCCACCACATTTCGCCCCCAAAATCAATGGGCGCGGTCTCTGGGCTCCATTCCACCAGCTTTGGAAGATCGGAGACATACCTGACGATCTCCACATCATCTCCTCGGGCCTCATCTTTTGACACCACGATTTGCCTCTGAATATCTTGCATGCCCTGCATCAGCTTCAGCAGCATCATCTTCAGAGACTGCTTGTCCATGGTGTCCTTGGTTCTGCCTTGTCCTTGTTTTTCATCTACTGATTGGCCATCTTCGGATTCTTCTTGCTGGGACTCTGCCCCATCCTCCAAGCCAACACCATCTTGCCGGGCTGCTGCCCCGTCCTCCTGGTTCTTTCTGTCTTGCCGGGCTGCTGCCCCGTCCTCCACATTGAGACTTCCTGCAGACTTCTCTTCAGGAGTTCCGTGACTTGAAGATTCCTTCTTCTCCAAAGCTGCCATCAATCTTGGCGCTTTGACGAGTTGATTTTCTGTTTGTGAAGCTCGCAACTGAACCCCTAACTGCTCTAAGGTGTGCTCAAATTACATCCTCCACATGTAATCCCTTTGCCTTGCCTCATGTTCACCTTGTGCTGAACCTAGTGATTGGATGAGTCCTGCCACCCAAACCTGGAAGTCCTTATCTTTCTGCTCCCCCGTGACCAAGGCCAAGCTGAAGACGGCGTGGCAAATGGTGGTTGATGGATTTCTTGAAGTCTAGCTGATTGCTCAGGCGAGAAGAGCAGCAACATGCTCTGGACCCGTCCCTCTGGAGTCACAAAGGATTGGGGACCTAGTGAAACTGGCGGTCCAGCTGGTGGCGCTAACATGTCCTTCTTCTCAACCTCCTGAACATCACGACCTTTCAAACTCCTATCTTCACCACCATGTGATGCTGGTGTTCTCTGTGAACCTCGTGCTATTGCCTCTTCAGACCTCTGAGCTTGACTACGTGACTCTGCAGGTGCACTGGATGGTTTCTTGGCTGATCCTGTTTGTTTCCCTTCCCTACTCCCTTCCGGAGTCCTCAGAGCTAAGGCCTGAGAAGCTGGCACCATTTCTTGGCCTATCAATGCCACTGGTTGTTCAGGCACAGGTTTCAACACTGCCCGGCTTGCCTCTGCTCCTCCTTCAGCCTCCAAGCTACCATCTGCACCACCAGCTGCCAAGCTGCCAGCTGCGCCATCAGCTGCTATGCTGCCCTAGGGCGCTCAGCATCGACGCCATGATTGCCAGCAGCCACAGCAGCACCGTTGGCACCATCTTGCTCAGCTGGTGCCCTGCTCTCCATGGCACCTTCTCTACGCCTACGCATCAAGTGAGTAGTCATTGGGGTTTTGTAAAGGCTCTTTGGGCTCATAACGTACGTTTTCCCCAAAATGCAACCCTTGACCGTCCTGGAGAAATCCAGCAGCTGACCTCCCCACCGCGGCTACCCTGTTTCTCAACCAACCAAACCAAAGGGTTTACCAGTTCCACCTGTGGACCCGCAGTCACCGCTCGATGCTGCACCTTTGTTCGGCTTCTCATGTAAAGGGCTGCAGTCGGCCCATGCAAAATGTATTGGACCCGCTCAGGATCAACGCCTTGACGAAATGAATTTCAAATTGAAATGAAAATGGTGGGTTCCAGTGCATGATATGTTTGGCCATACGCACCAGTAATATAATGATAACACTGATCATAACACTAGCAGCAACAACAATGATACTAATAAAGATGACAGCACGAATAACAACACTGATGACAGCAATGACAACAACAATACAGTAATATATAAACGATAATGTTGGTGATTTTATGGTGGTTGTCACTGCAGTGGAGACATTTGGAGACTTCATCCTTTATTTTGGGGGCCCCATTTTCTACATCGACCTTTCGAATCATTTGGTTGAAACTGATGCTGAAATTCCGGAAACTGACCCCCGTCTATTTCCCATCTCCCATCTATCTCCAGCCTATTTCCAATCGACCAAGCGTATCTGCAAATAGCATCCACCCACCGGGCAGGGCTCACGCCCGGAGCAGTTCTCTGTCCCGCGACCGCTGATGGGAGAGTTCCGGCTCCTGTTGTAAGCAAAAAACGTCCGAAGGGTTGGGAGAAACTGTGCATCTCTCATCCCGGCATCCAAAGTGGGTAATAAACCATGTAGAACCCATAATCACCGGGCATATTCCAGATATGCCTGGAACATTATTGGGGTTACACATTATTACCCACTTACAAACTGGGATGCACCCCATCAAAATAGGATGTCTTAACCATCCAACTCTGGGGGATTGAGGGTTTTTCGGTTTTACATGTGGCCATTTTGTGGGATGCTGTGGTGGGGCAGCCACTTTTTTCAATGACCTCCGTGCTGCGTGCAAGTTTGTGTTGATATTAGACTTGAGCAGGATTGTGGTTTCTCTGAGTGTTCAGGGTCATCATAAAGATAAACTATTCGGAAGAGTGTGAGGCGTATTGCTGACACATCACACCCTGACTGATGAGCATGGCTAGAAATGACAGAGAGGCAAAAAATCAAACTCTATGCCTCAAATAGACACCAGACTTCAGCAGGGATTTTCCAAGATCCTTTTGAAGACAAACATTACACTTCCTTGATGATGTTCCTACTGGAAGCAACATTTTCGTTCCAGCCAGCTCCAGCTCTTCAATTTTCGGCTGTAATTTTCAAGGATATATATATATATATATGTATTGTGTGTATATATATATGTATTGTGTATATATATATATTTAAGGGCTGCCGCCCCTGCCGCCGACCCCGGAAAAGAGAAAGCTGGCTTCATTCGAGTGTTCTGTGAGTTGTCAGCCTGGATGCTTTATATATACATTATATATATATATGCATCAAATAGTATATACTTGTGTGTTGAATTGAAATTTTGCTAGTCCCTATCCCTGCCATGAAGCTCAAGCATCCATCCTTTTGCTTTCCGTTTTTCGGGGGTGGTGTGTCCTCCTCCCCGTGCGCGAGACATAGTCTTCGCACGGGAAAGGCACATCAGTGAATCATAAAGAGTTGTTTGAAAGCAAAAGAATGGATGCTGACTGGCGATGGAGCATGTATCGCGTTTGTCTGTCGTGTGATGCAAAAAAGCAATGTTTTTTATGCCAGACAAAGCAGACGAAAGAATACTTTAGCCATGTAGCTTGGCAAACGCGGGATCCCAAACGTCGATTGTGTTTGCAATGCCAGACCAAGACCCGCGGCTCTTGGAAATGCGCGGTCTGCCACCAGCGGCGGTCGCGGCACCACTTTTCGAACTTTATTTCCAGGCGGCCCTCTGGCGAAAATGGAACGCAGATATGCGACGCATGCCATGCTGCGAAATTGCAGCATGCAGTCCGTAAGCGCGCTGCTGCTTCCAGTGCAGCTCGCCTAGAGCCCCTCCGGAAAAGAATTCGCCGCAGGCACATTATCCAGGAGACATGGGAAGCAATCGCTGCAAACAAGAAAGCACGCACACATGATCATTCGACAGATCCCGTGGAAATGCGCTCTGCTGACATGGCGTCGGCCGGCCTCTTGCAGGCAAGCAGTAGGGAAAAAACAGTTGCCGCGGCGCTGACGTGCGAAGAGAAAACTACAAATGAGGTTGCTACCGGTCAAAAAATGGATGCGATCCATTCATCGACCCAGCCGCGTGCTGTAGGGCCCAACACAGCACCGCCACAACTGCACACATACATCTGCCCGTACTGTGCCAAGTCTGTACAAAGCCCTGTGGCAACCGGGCGCGTCGATCACCGCCGCAGTAAGGGCTGCGGCAAACAATTTCGCGTTGCCAATGGCCTGCTCGCAGGCCGCACATACTCGCATGCATGTCCAACATGCGGCACGGTGGTGCACTCAACACTGGCTTCCGGCCAAATTCGGGTAACGCATCGCAATCCCAGCGGCCGGCAGTGTCGCACCAACCAGTGGCGCGTGCAGACCTGATGAAGTTTCCAGCTTAAGGTTGCCACACAGCACGGCAATGCCCCACATTACTGTCTGAACCTACAAGAAAAGTAGCCGTTTTCCAGCTTTCCAAGCTTAGAAACGGCGCCTCCGCCACGCCCAAACAGCAGGGCCCTGAAGGACAGACCGGGCCTGCCAGCAACGGCCCCTACTGCCTAACGTTGCTTTCTGAACCTATAAACAGCAAGGCCCTGAAGGACGGACTGGGCCTGCCAGCAACGGCCCCAGCGGCCTAACGTTGCTTTCCCAAATTACACGAAAAGTAGCCATCTTCTAGCTTTCCAAGCTCAGAAACGGCGCCTCCGCCACGCTCAAACAGCAGGAAAAGCATCAAAATTGCGACCAAAAACTCCCGAATGTAACTTCTGAAACCCATAGAAAAGGATGATTTTTTAGCTACTTTTTCCTCCTGCTGCTGCTGCTCCTCCTCTTGCTACTCCTTCTGTTCAAAGAAACGGCGCCTCCGCCACGCTCAAACAGCAGGGCCCTGAAGGACGGAAAAGGCTCAAAATTGCGACCAAAAACTCTCTAATGCAACTTCTGAAACCCATAGAAAAGGATGATTTTTTAGCTACTTTTTCCTTCTGCTGCTGCTGCTCCTGCTCTTGCTGCTCCTTCTGTTCAAAAGACAGCTCCCGGATGGGAAAGCACCATGGCAGTGAAGGACGGAAAAGCGTCAAAATTGCGACCAAAAACTCCCTAATTTCCAAGCTCAGAAACGGCGCCTCCGCCACGCTCAAACAGCAGGGCCCTGAAGGACGGAAAAGCATCAAAACTGCGACCAAAAACAGCTCAGAAACGGCGCCTCCGCCACGCTCAAACAGCAGGGCCCTGAAGGACGGAAAAGCATCAAAATTGCGACCAAAAAGTGCCTAATGTAACTTCTGAAACCCATAGAATCCCATAGAAAAGGATTATTTTTTAGTTACTTTTTCCTTCTGCTGCTGCTCCTGCTCTTGCTGCTCCTTCTGTTCAAAAGACAGCTCCCGGATGGGAAAACACCATGGCAATGAAGGACGGAAAAGCGTCAAAATTGCGACCAAAAACTCCTTAATTTCCAAGCTCAGATTTCCAAGCTCAGAAACGGCGCCTCCGCCACGCTCAAACAGCAGGGCCCTGAAGGACGGAAAAGCATCAAAATTGCGACCAAAAACTCCCTAATGCTCAAACAGCAGGGCCCTGAAGGACGGAAAAGCATCAAAATTGCGACCAAAAAAGGCATAATGTAACTTCTGAAACCCATAGAAAAGGGTTATTTTTTAGTTACTTTTTCCTTCTGCTGCTGCTGCTCCTGCTCTTGCTACTCCTTCTGTTCAAAAGATAGCTCCCGGATGGGAATTTCCAAGCTCAGAAACGGTGCCTCCGCCACGCTCAAACAGCAGGGCCCTGAAGGACGGAAAAGCATCAAAATTGCGACCAAAAAGTGCCTAATGTAACTTCTGAAACCCATAGAAAAGGATTGTTTTTTAGTTACTTTTTCCTTCTGCTGCTGCTGCTCCTGCTCTTGCTGCTCCTTCTGTTCAAAAGACAGCTCCCGGATGGGAAAACACCATGGCAGTGAAGGACGGAAAAGCGGCAAAATTGCGACCAAAAACTCCCTAATTTCCAAGCTCAGAAACAGCGCCTCCGCCACGCTCAAACAGCAGGGCCCTGAAGGACGGAAAAGCATCAAAATTGCGACCAAAAACTCCCTAATGTAATTTCTGAAACCCATAGAAAAGGATGATACTGCCTAATGTAACTTCTGAAACCCATAGAAAAGGATGATTTTTCAGCTACTTTTTCCTCCTGCTGCTGCTGCTGCTGCTCCTGCTCTTGCTACTCCTTCTGTTCAAAAGACAGCTCCCGGATGGGAATTTTCAAGCTCAGAAACGGCGCCTCCGCCACGCTCAAACAGCAGGGCCCTGAAGGACGGAAAAGCATCAACATTGCGACCAAAAAGTGCCGAATGTAACTTCTGAAACCCATAGAAAAGGATTATTTTTTAGTTATTACTTTTTCCTTCTGCTGCTGCTGCTGCTGCTCCTGCTCTTGCTACTCCTTCTGTTCAAAAGATAGCTCCCGGATGGGAATTTCCAAGCTCAGAAACGGTGCCTCCGCCACGCTCAAACAGCAGGGCCCTGAAGGACGGAAAAGCATCAAAATTGCGACCAAAAAGTGCCTAATGTAACTTCTGAAACCCATAGAAAAGGATTGTTTTTTAGTTTCTTTTTCCTTCTGCTGCTGCTGCTCCTGCTCTTGCTGCTCCTTCTGTTCAAAAGTTCAAAAGACAGCTCCCGGATGGGAAAACACCATGGCAGTGAAGGACGGAAAAGCGTCAAAATTGCGACCAAAAACTCCCTAATTTCCAAGCTCAGAAACGGCGCCTCCGCCACGCTCAAGCAGCAGGGCCCTGAAGGACGGAAAAGTATCAAAATTGCGACCAAAAACAGCTCAGAAACGGCGCCTGCGCCACGCTCAAACAGCAGGGCCCTGAAGGACGGAAAAGCATCAAAATTGCGACCAAAAAGTGCCTAATGTAACTTCTGAAACCCATAGAAAAGGATGATTTTTTAGCTACTTTTTCCTTCTGCTGCTGCTGCTCCTGCTCTTGCTGCTCCTTCTGTTCAAAAGACAGCTCCCGGATGGGAAAACACCATGGCAGTGAAGGACGGAAAAGCGTCAAAATTGCGACCAAAAACTCCATTATAATTCCAAGCTCGAACGGCGCCTCCGCACGCTCAACAGCAGGGCCTGAAGGACGGCAAAAGCATTCAAAATTGCGACCAAAAAACAGCTCAGAAGAAAAGGCACCCGGGCCTCAGCACGATGCAAACAGCCGGGCCATGAAGGACGGAAAACAAAACAAAAGGAAAAACATCAAAATTGCGACCAAAAACTGCCTAATGTAACTTCTGAAACCCATAGAAAAGGATGATTTTTTAGTTACTTTTTCCTTCTGCTGCTGCTGCTCCTGCTCTTGCTGCTCCTTCTGTTCAAAAGACAGCTCCCGGATGGGAAAACACCATGGCAGTGAAGGACGGAAACGCGTCAAAATTGCGACCAAAAACTCCTTAATTTCCAAGCTCAGATTTCCAAGCTCAGAAACGGCGCCTCCGCCACGCTCAAACAGCAGGGCCCTGAAGGACGGA